TATTACTTGATTTTTCTTACTCATAAAAAAGTAAATAAAAATTATTAGTTTCATCCCATTAATAAGCATGACTCAGGAATGCAAAAATAGATGCTTCCGTACTATGCCAATAAAATTTGATATACGATCATAAATTTAAACGGTTTTTTGGCTTTTTCTTACTATTTCTTTATAGTGTTGGCCCAGAAAAGCCATTTATTGTCGTCAAAAATTAAATATATGAAATAACGTAAATAAAAACGACGTTTTTAAAACCTATTTGAAGTAATGTAACAGATGAAAAATTATGAACGAAAAAAAAATTGTTTGCTGCCATTGTGTCTTCTTCAAGATGTTTATTCGTTCAAAACAAAAATGAAACTATACTAATGTATCTACAAATATATTATTTTTCGGTCACAAAACTCACGTAAAATATGAAAGAGTTGAGCACATATATTCCTTTACGATATCAGATCTTTTCTATACTAGCAGTTCAAGGCAAGAAAATCTTATATAATTTTATTACATCTATACCAAAAAACTGCAAGAAATATTATTGCAGATATATTCTTTCTATACCGTGTGGTACATCTGAACGCGGGGGGATATAGGAAATCCCATGTAAATTTTGAAAAGGTCAAATATATATTATCTCGCCAGATGATTTTATGCAAAAATTGTATTAGACTTTCTTGAAGAGGCGTTAAACTTGTACTGTGTCGTCTAGAATTTCGTTTTATTTGGATTCAGCATCAAAAAGTTATTTGCAAAAATCTACCTGCAAATTACTAAAAATTTATAATACGGCCCAGAGAAAGCTACAATTAACATACCAGCAAAAATGTGATCGTGTCATTGTCAAATTCTAAAATATTTTTATGTTATAAAGGTTTAACAGCCTTGAGTTTAACTGTTACTGCAATATTTTCTTATATCATAAGTTTATATTTCGTCCCGTTGCTGCCAAAAGTCACTAACTTACTTTTTATTACTTCCGAGAAAAACGCGTCTAAAGATTAATTGCACTGCATAAAAATGTTATAGTTAGTAACTATTCGGTATTAAAATACAACATAAATAGCCAGAAATCGTAGTTAATGACTTTTTCAATCGATTCTCCGCTTCAAAATACAGTTAGTGTCAAATAGTGTAAATACAGTAATAGTGTAAATAAATAGTGTAAAATACAGTACAATCACAACCCATTCCCAAATATTAGTCGAGGTGAACAAAACGATGTGAAGTGCCAAAATTGAGGAAAATTTTTTTAGTGATGTAAGTAATGTATTTTTGACAATATTAAAGTTTCAAGGTTTGCTTCGCCGTTATCTACGCGAATCAAACCGCTACCGAGTTTTGCCTGACGTACATTCGGAAAAATTCTAAGGCTAGACTGTAATAAATTACGGTACGGGAAAAATACAAAAATAAAAATAGATATTTTCATATAAACAGAGAAACATCTACGGAACATTTTTATGGATCTGCAAATAAAAAGAGACTGAATATAGTTTTCTACCTTAATAAAGTGTTTTGAATTTAAAAGATTTCTTAACTTTATGTAAAAATATTAGTTAATTTTAAGACATAGTCGCTCCCAATAGTAATTCGCATTCCTATAGAAAACTTGCATCTTTTATAACCGGTAACACAAAACTCGAAGTGCACGATGAGCAATAGGGCATTCAATCCCGGGATCCCCGACATTTTTTCAATCCCGAAATCCCGGGATTGTCTTTTCTTTAATCCCGGGATTTTCGAGATTCATCATTACATTTTTTCCTTATTTAAATCGTACACAAGTCTTTCATGATAGTACAATATGCGCTTATAAACAACCCTGAATGGTTGATCAAGTTTGAAGATGATGAAGATCTATCTAGTTTGAGTGATAATACTCTTGATCGGCTTGTTTTTTTTTAAGAAATTTTTTCAAAAACCAAAAAAACCAAGTTTAGATCCTCATCTTTGTTACTGCATAAGTTGTTATTTTAGTATCTTAGTAATCCTGTGTTATGCTGTATTCGATTGGTTATGTAAATTAAATAAAAAATGTATATTTTAGTTCCTTTTATGTTTTTTTTGTTAAATAAACTTATATGTTATGTTGTTTTGCAATGGGGATGACGTTTAATTTATGTTAATGTTTTTTTTGTTCAATAAAATTTTGTAAAGAAAGAAAATATAATATAATCCCAACGTAATTAATTTTTTCGTGAATCCCGGGATCCCGGGATCGAAAAATTATAATCCCGAAATCCCGGGATTGAAAATTTCTTTCGGGATTGAATGCCCTAATGAGCAAGTAGTAGTTTAAAATTCGAGAAAATATTTTTTTAGAAATAGATTTTTGTCTGGAAACGTTCTATCCTTTTTTAATATATTTTAATTATTATTATTATTATTATATACCGGATGTATGAAATCCGCCTTAAGAAACGACAGTGGTAGAATAACTGATTTCGCGTTCTGTTTTAAATTTTGCCAAGCAACTCAGTGTTCAAATAACTTTTCAAACGATAATTTGCCTCGTATCACTGGCTCGGCTAACGCACCTCTTAAGTTGCTTTTTAATCCACCCTCCGCACCCCTTAGCCCCCTCGACCGCCACGGCATCTCCAGCCGGCTCTGGTATCCGAATAACCGTGTACACCACCACGCATTGCAGCTCCATCTCGCGGTCATGTCACACCAAAAGAAAAAGTCCTCGACGGTTAACGTCGCGCGACCGACGTCACCTAACGACGCCGGACGACCCGTCTACTGCTGCCATTGGGACGGCGCCGACTGACTTACGAAACGCCGAGCGTCGGGATCGAGATCGTCGCGACGTTAGCAGATGGAACGAGGAGGATGCGTAGGAGGAAATAACAGTTTTCGAAGAAAAACGGGGACGGCAAAAAATGAAACAGAATAATTTCGGGCGTAGTTTAATGACGGTCTCTCGCTAAAAACAGCTTTAACTCGAAAGAATACGGTTAGAACGCTCCAAATTATTTAAAATGTCGTATGATCGAAAGAAAAACGGCGCCAAAGAGAGCTGGGAAATGACAATCGATGATAATTTTGGCGAGGTCAATATCTAGACGCCATTTACTAAATGTTTACATAAAACTTGTCAAAATTAACACTAATCATAAAACGATTGATACCTACGCATATTGTCACCGACATTGTTCAATTTATATTCCGAAAACTTGTTTAGAGAAACCTTATAAAAAAATCTTATCTAAGACGGCATCAAGAAAATAGAAACCTTATAGAAGACGACATTACAATAAATGACCCACTTATTAATATTAGATACGCAGACAACACTATATTGCTGGCAGATAGTGCGGATTGTCTACAGAGAGTGATAGACAATATTATACAAGCCAGTAACAAAAACGGACTGAGAAAAACTACCCAAAAGAAATAAATTTGTTTCTTTTATCGACTTGTGTTGCTTCTGTTGTTATTTATATATTATTTTGTTGTTATTAAATATATTTTGAAAATTATATTTTCTTAACCTTATCATTTTTCTGCTTTGGGGAATATTTCCGGGAACCTTCTCGGAAAGTTTCCAATTTTTCATAACATTAAAATTTTTTTCCATTCCCATCACTATCCCGATTTGGGGAACGTTCCCAGGAACATTCCCTCAAAATAAGATTCCCGGAATGTCCCCATCTCTAGACAAGCCTAACATCAATTGAACTATTCCGAGATGCTGTGGAGAAGATAAGATGGTCAAACGTGGTCGCCAACATCATAAGAACACAGACACCACAAAAAGATGGAAAGATTAAAAAAGAACGGTTTTCAGACACAAATCTATTTCTAAAAAATTATTTTTTTCTCGATTTTAAACTACACCATTTAAAAATAATTTGTACTCAATATAAAAATACATTACAACCTTAAGGGTCAACAGTAAGCGTCATTAAAAAATAAAAAAAGAGTACGGACCAAGTATTGTCCTCTAGGATTTGGCCTGGCCAAAATTATCATCAAGCGATTTTTCGCGACATACTTTTCTTAGCTGGGTTTGAAAAATTTCTGTTTCCGCGAAAAAAAGTATGCGACCGAAATATTTGTGAAGTTAGCAACTTTTTTGTCAATTAAATGTCAAACCTGGATATAACTATCGAGTGTGTATATTAAACGTAATGATTTATATTCTGGATTTGGTTAACATGATAAGTCCAGTACAATGTAATAAGCAAGCAAATAATAACTCCAACAAAAAAATTCTTCAATAAAACCAAAAAATTCTTCAATAATTTAATCGCAATATGGTTTTTTGCATCTGAGTATATTATTTACATTTTATGTATTTTTTTCGAAAGTTGTACGAGTACATTATTAATATGTATATAAATATCATTATAATGAAACAAATGTTCACTGTATCATTAAAATTAAAAAAAAAAACAGTTTAAGAGACAATTTCATAACAATCACTTACAAAACTTTGTTCTCTTTTATAAGTACTAATGTAAATTTACCATTATAAATTAAGAATATATGTCAGTACAAAACCTAAATCTAAATTGGATAGCTTCCAAGAATCTTAAAAAATGTAAAAAATAACAAAATTTAGCATTCTTATTTTTTAAATGCTGACAAAATTTGGTATGAAGGTTTTTCACCCCAATGATTTATACTAATCAGTTGGAATATTTAAAATTTCTTACATTTCGCAATTTATCCTTGAACATTTATTGAAGTAAACACATGATTATCTGTATCATACAAAACACTAATAAAAGTTAATTAATAACACCTTGATAAGTTAAAACTTGTACAATGTTCTAATTTTTAATATAGCAGGCAGAAAATCAAATGTTTGTTATTTGAAATAATCGTATTTTTCCATAAAAATTACGGTAATTATATCCGGCGCATATAAACTTATAAAACGACTAAACGGAAAAATATGAATATGCAAGAATAAAAATTGTATAAATTTAGTTTTTGCGCTATTACTTTTCAAACGAATAATAAAATTAAAATAACAAAACAATACATACCTGTCAAAAATTCTTGCTTCCTTCAAAACATTCCCAAGATTAATATAGGCATCCAAAAAATTTGGATCCAGCGCCACTGCCTTTTCGAAATGGTGAATCGCCAACCAAATCTCGCCCTGTGCATTGAACACACAACCCAAGTTACTCCAGGCGACGGCAAAGTCCGGTCTAGTTTCGATGGCTTTTAGATAACATGCCTAAGTACCACAACAGCATAAAATGAAAAAGAAAAGAAAAAATCTTTAGTCAATGAAACAATTTAACACGAAAAAATCTCGCTCTTGCGCCTCGTTTGATGGTTTCGCTTCACACGACGGATTTCGGTAACTTTTGTTCTTAAAAAGGAAAGACAATATATCGCCAAACGCATTTTGATTACGCATGCGCCAAGATTATGCAATTTTTTGTTTACACAATGCACTATGGACAATACTACGCCAAATAATTGAATTACACCAGAGCGCACTATGGTTTCTAGAAGCTAATTTTTTGGCCAAAATACATATTTTAGACTCACTGTATATGGACTTTTTTTCTAAGTATAATGCAAGCAGATATAAAAATGAAGAAGACCACATGCATATATTTTTGTTTAGTTTTCATTTTTATTCCTTATCAGCATTTATATTTAGACGTTCTAGTGAAGTATTTGTACCTATTCAGTTGTTTATTTTTGGAAGAGTTTTGGTGAATATTAAGTGATATATTTCAGAAGGATTTAAAAACGGATTACTGTTATTTTTACACTTTATGGTATGTATTTTTAAGAAATCACTAACTAATTAATTAAAAATAATGAGTTTAAGATAGAACATAAATAAAAAGTTAAAAGTTTAGTTTGACTTATAAAAAATTCTCCATGTTTCTCCATGCTAGATGTTATTGTAAAATTTGAAACAATCCTTTCTAAACATATCAAAGAAAAAATTGGCTGCTACTAGCTGCAAATTTTTTTAAGATTTTTTTTCAGCTATGTATCGATTGAAAAAAATAGATCTTTTGGAAAAATGGCTACAAGTGGCCGATAAAGTAGAGAAAAACGGGTATTTTTCAAATTTTGTAAGACAGAAATTTCAGAATAATGAACAAGAACTATCAGGCACAATGGAAAAAAAGATAAATCGCCTTTGTATAAATTTTGAAAGAAGATGGCAGGCGGTTTCGTGGCTTAAAGATTTATTTTTAAAACAAAATGATGACTGGTTAAAGGACGATTTTATCCTTGAGTTAAAGGAACCCCTTCCATCCACATCATCTGCCGGCTGCCCACGATTACCTTTTTCGGAGCAATCTTCCAGAACTCAGAAAAGAACGGCCTCAAAAGTTACCGAGGAACATAAGCAGGCAGTTTCCGAGGAACACTTGTGCAGGCTGCAAAATACTTTACTTGTGCAGGCTGCTTTGTAAATTTAGTTATCCTGCCGATGTACTTAACCTACTTCGTGTACCTGACTTTATCGAAAAGAACTTAAATGAAGAACAATTTGAAGAGAAATATGGAAAAGAAGAGGAATACGAGAAGGAAGAGCAAGAAGAAGAAATGCAAAAAGAAGAAGAGCAAGAAGATATTTCTAAAGAAGATTGTTTTTTTGGACAGCAGTAATTCGATAATTGATCAAGTTTCTTTTGTGGAACTAGATACAGAAGATGCTTCATAGGTAAAAGTTAATCACACGTTGAATAAGATGATTAAAAATAACTTCATTTTATTATATTCATTAAATGTAAGCTGTTTAATTTTGGCCAAAAAAGTAGCTTCTAGAAACCATAGTGGAGCGCTAAAAAAGCCGGAGAGAACAATATCAGATTAAAATTTGCGCCATGCGCTGTTATAAAATAAAGTATTTTTGGTATACACCCAATAGATTGGAGAGATACAACATAGTGATGTGTCTCTCGCACTGTTTCGCACAATGGCAATGTTTACTTTACCTGCTCTTCATACATACAGGGCCGTTATGAGAAATCAGCGCCAATGTAGACAAGGCGCTGCGGATACTCGTCGATATGGAATAACCTGTTATTTAACAGCACAACCAAATGGTTAAATAGTATAATCTGTCAAATATGTCGGACATAAGAACTACTGTATGTAGAAAAAGACCTTGGACTGTAGTTGTCACCATAAAAATTAAGATAATTATTAAGCCATTGATCACCTGCAAACAGCAGAGAGCACTTAATTATTAATCGGGTAAATCGAGGGGTCCTAGAATAGTCTTAGATGGTACAACTTATTTTCAAAGGACTTTTTCCCCTGTTTAAAATCACAAAAAATGTTGAGTTTATAATACGAAGACAAATCTAAACAAACCTGAAATTTCTCATGTTACTTTTACAGTATATAAACAGCATTATTAAAAAAAACTATTATTAAATGGAATTGTCATTAAAATTATAATGAAAGTCCAGGATATAATTTTTGAAACGGGCTTTGAAAGAACTTGACCAAATTTTTTTTAGATACTTTGGAATATAAAAACTACGCCTACTTGCCATCTGAAAAAAATGTATGCCCAACAAATTAAACACCAACTTTTTTATCATAATCTTGTTACATAAAAATTTTAAATTAATTTGTTGTGCATAAAACCCAATCATCCTTCTTTTACTAAATCACAAAGAGGTATAATTGTTCAATAATACAGCATTTCTAATATGTACTGTTCAATTTGCGAAGTTTGAAACTTTCGTCATTATTTTCGGCGCCATGTTGGTTTTCACGTATTTCTTGACTTGGTCCATGAGTTGTTTATATCTCTGGTTGTAAACTAACAATAACAAAATATTAAACGAAGACAAATTTATTGTAGCCTACCCGCAGTGTATACAATGAATAAATACGTCCTCTAGTAATATGTTCATGGATCTTATAAGCGGGCATTCAAACGAATATTGTGACTTGTTTTGCTGCTTTTTGTTCTTAATCTTTCACGATTCCTCTGGAACTTATTCTTTGCACAGTCGAGCATGAAATTCCTAAAGCCTCCGATGCTCTCTATAAAACACGTGAATATTTTCGATTCAGTTACAAAATATTAACTCGGTAGTTGTCCAATTACATCGTAAACAGCCGATACAGGTAAAAGGTTTTTTTCCACCATCTTTTTCGAGATTCAAATACTCGATAACTTTTAATATAAGCAGTTGTTCTTTTTCAGTAAAACGGGACGGCATTAAACACAAATTAAATCACAAATAACTAAATAAACACAGAAAATCTTTTTCTGAATAGAAAAAGCCTTTTTCTATTCATGCACATTAGACAAGGTACAAGTACGATTCTTTATACGTAATGAAGGTGATCTGTATGCAAAACGAAAAAAATAATCGTATGATATAATGGACTTACGTTTTTGACACAAAATTTCCATTTCATGTAATAAACATGGATAAAAGATAGAATGACAATATGTGACGAAAGACTCAAACTTCGCAAATTGAACAGTATATAGTCACATTTTACGCCAATATCTTTAATAATACGCCAATACTAGAATAAAAATAATATACACAAATTTATCCATAATATTTACACCAAGCACAATATTACACTAAATGCCAATTTTAAATGTTTTATACATGTTACAAATTTGATCAAGTGCTTATGGGCCCTATTATTATCATATAAAAAAGGTGAATTAATAATATAACTCTATTCTCATTTCAGAAACTTACCTTTGCTTCATCTAATCGACCCAAAGCTTTAAGGAGATTACCTAAATCACTACGTACACAATAGAGATCCTAAAATAAAACATAAATTGAATATGTGCTTTAATAAACAGACTCCAGCCTAATGTATTTTTTTGTATTTATTAGTGTTTAGGTTTTACATTTTATGATTTATTGTGACCTGCTTATTGTTCTTGTTTAGTTTTATATTGCTTTGAATTTATTGACTCGTTTATATTTTGATTGACTTGTTCATTATTTTTTTTTTTAATTATTTGTAATACATAATTTTAGAAATGTTGTATATGAATTTACTTAGTGTCTGTAATTAGCTTTGGTTATTGTAATTTAATAAATAAGAATATAGTGTGATAACTTACTGGATTATACTGTAAGGCTGTAATATAAGCTTGTACAGCTTGTTCCATATCTCCGGCAGCAACTAAAGCTGCCGCTAAATTTATGTAACCATCTATAAAATCTGGTTTTAATCTAACAGCATGTCTATAGTTATCTAATGCTTCTTGCAGCTGATTTCTTTCCTTGTATACATTACCAAGATTACTAGAACATATGTTAAACGTTACTTGAGAAATTATACATAGGTAATGCTTATTCAACTAACCTGTAAGCCTCAGCTAAGAGTGGATTTTGTTTAATAGCCAAGGTACTAAATTGCGCTGATTTTTCCAATCTTCGACATTGAAAATGAATACTTGAAAGTAACAATAAAACGCCAGTATTCGTTTGATCCTGTCTGAAAAGCTGCATGCAATGTCTCTCTGCATTGTCATAATCAGCAGCTTGATACTCTCTATGCGCTAATTCAAGAAGACCTGCAATAACTATTAGTAAAATTATGAAAATGTGTAATATCCAAGTATTATTAGTTACAAAGCATGCACACGTATTACCAAAAACTTCTCTAAAATATTATATATTTAGGTGTTTGTGTGTAATACAAAATACTTAAGTTCAGGAAGTCAATGGATTCATAGGTCAATCTCAGGACAAATTTTACAATTCACTTTTAACGTAAAACTAGAGATATAACAATATCAATTTTTAAATATTCGCGACTGCGTATATTTACGACATAAATTAGGGTTGATTGTTTTTGGTCACTTCCTGTTTAACTGGAAATGACTACAGGTTTTGATTTTACAATGGCACCCTCGGTATATTTTTACTTTATTCGATAGAAAATGACACTCTGAATAGAATGACATAATATGTCAACTTTTGACATTTTTGTTTAAAAATCGTATTTTAAATTTCAATCTGAAGTGTCATGGCTGTTAAAAACACTAACTTTTAATCAAGGAACCTTGGAAAATAGACTTGATCGTCTAATGTTTTTCTTGTCTTATCCTGGCCAATTAAAAGATGCCCAAATCGTATTTTTAATCATATCTTATTTTTTTCAAATGGAACAAGAGTGACTCATTAGCATATTTGGAAAAAGCATTTTTTACGAATAATTTGGTACCACACACTTGGTATTTCGAGTCAAATTGTCGTTATGAACCGCATGCTACAATTTCAAATAAACCATATGCGAAAATGTCAAAAGTTGACATATGATATATGTCATTATTCTATTCAGAGTGTCATTTCCTATCTAACAAAGTCAAGATACCGAGAATATCATTTAAAAATCGTAGTTCATTTAAAAATAAAAGTTGTGATTGTCATTTCCGGTGAAACAGGAAGTGACCAAAAACAATTGAATACGTCATTCGATCCCAATTTATGTCATATACTAACATACCAAATCTCGTTTTTTATCTAAAAAATAAAAAAAATTATAGAGGTGAGCCACTTTTGAGACGCACCCGGTATAAAATACAAAACTAATTCCGAATATCAAAAAGCAATAATATCAATTGCAATAATATGAATGGTCCATGGGACAAACATGATAAGCGCCTATTTCTTAATTTTAGGGTTTTATAATATTATAGTAGGTCTAACTGGTCCCTACAAAATGTATAAACTCTTCAGGGCAAGCTGTTAAATCCTATGATATACATATATCTAGTAAATCTAGTAAATATGTACATTTAAAGAACCTGATAACGACCAGCCGCAGGGCCTATTTTACCATAAGGCCCATAAGGCCTGGGCCTTGGGCCCGGTGGTCTGGGGGGCCCGTTAAAGGTTGTAAAATATTCATAATTTCAAATGTAAATTTACACAGCAGAGAAAAATAAACAGTTACCTCTGATAAGGAAAATAGAATTAAATAAAATAAGCTTTAGATTGATATAATTAATGCATTTTTTAAAATTATTTATAAATTTATATCAAAGATACCGGCACGATTCCCCAATCTAAAAATAGCGTTTTATCTTTTTAACCCAAACTAACAAAAGAATTTTTGAATTTTATTGGAAAAGAGGGCCCGAATTTTTGCTTGGGCCTAGGGCCCGACCTGATGAAAAATAGGCCCTGACCTAGCCGTCCAGGGAAATAACTTGATAGATCAATTTAATCGCGTCATTTTTTTTTTTCAAGTTGAGTCGTGTGTCCTGTCTGAAGCAATGCCAGTATTTTAGCTAATGCGTTATCGCATGGTTGTAAACAGTCGTGAGTTGATTTAAGCGTGCTTTGTGCAGCTATTATACACACTTCGCATGGAGCGGACCATCGTGTGTATTCTTAAGGACAGGAATCCCGGCGGTACCACTAAATCCGGCCGATCCGGCCATTCGGCCGAAACTCCGTTCAAAAAAATTAAATTAGGCTAAATATAAGCAGAAAACAAGTCTTTATTAAACCATAACACTATTTTTTACAAACATACGAAATAGAATGTTTTGCAAAAAAAATAAACTAAAAACTTATATTCATAATTCAGATTGTGGTGTATAAATAAGAGTTTTTCTGCATTTTCAGAACTCAGTCTACACCTATTGTCAACAATATGTTACCAATTTCCACTGTAGTTGAATATCCACTAAATTCTATGTTAAAAACCGCTAGAATCCGGTAGGAGCGATATTAAATGTGAAATTTTGCCATGTTGCCTAGATTTTAACATTTTGGTAAGATTCTCATCACGTGAAAAACGGTATTTAGTATTTACCTTAACTTTAGACGATTCTAGGTCTTTTAGGTACTTTAAGGATGTATTCTAATTACGCGAATATCGCTGTTAATTTTGAAAAAAACTGATTGTTTAGAATTTAATTAATACTTTTCTGTTAATTTTACTTATTTATTATTCAAAAAAGCCGCTAAATGAAAACACTGCTTAAGAAATTAATCTAATGAGCTGAAATCACTGCACTATTGCCAGACTTATAAATATTGGAAAACAGCGGATTGGACCCGATATAGCAGCCGATTAGGCCGGAACTCGGGCATCCGATCCGGTTAGTGGCCGGATTTTCTGTTCCGGCGGAATCGTCCAAATACCCAATCCGGTACGAATCGGCCAAATACACGATCCGGTACATCTCTAATTCTTAAGGTCCGACGGAGTACTTTCATCTGTGCTGTCAAGCTGCGCATGTGAAACATTTTGAATCATTATAGACGTCCGCGCGCTGATGGTCCGTCGAAGCAAGGGGTCGACGGCTGGCCGTCGAACAAAATCATCCAGACGGATCATCCTCTCGCATGTGAAAATATTCATATAAACTCATGGTACTTGTTCAACCAACGGACGGTCCGCTCAATGTGAAACACTTAAGAGTTTTGATTTTTATCGTTATTTCAAGCATGCAGTTAACTTTTTGAAGACTCTGGCCAAATTAATATACCTGTGTGTTAATATAACTGTAAGTTTCCGAAAGTGCCATTGAAGAACTACACTGCCTCATATCTGAGTGTATTTTGAAAACATTTTTTTAGTTACTGTAATTAGTAAACCTACAAAATATAATTATTACAGGTATAGTAGTTGTTACATTATTACGTTCTGACGCGTTTTCTCGCTCTTCTGTAAAATTAGTAAAATGGCGCTTATCATGTTTTTCCCCTAGACCATAGTAATTGCATTGGGTAATTGCAGGACTAGGTTGATGTTTAATTTACCTGTTATTTACACCTTATATGGTGTTTTCAAATGCTGATATTTGCATAAATTTTGCGATGTTGAGTGCGAATATTCGTGAATTTGAATATTCGTTACATCACTACTTAAACACAAATTTGCCAAGTCAGAAAAAAAACATTTAATGCTTCAAAGAGCATACTTTCCCTAAACCTTAATTTAACTAGAAAAACTTAACAATAATTAATAAAGTTATCAAAACTTCCAAATTTCCTAAAGAGGCAGCCATTCAAGCCAAAAGTAAGTAGTTTAACTTTCATATTAACCCGCAAAGAAATATACCTACCTCTGTGAAAAAAAAAATTATCATATATTAAAAGGATAGATATTTTAAATTTTAAAACAGGAAAGGAGTATGTTGGTTGCTCAAATTTATGTGATGAAGATCTTTGGTTGAAAATGAACTGGGAATTTGTCACTGGATTCTCAACAAAGAGGAATATCTTAAAAAAGTTATAAATTTTACTTCTTATATTTCTACAAGATTTCAATAATGAAACTACCAACGAGGCAGAGATATTATTTCTAATATTATACAATATTGCCAGATAATAAAATATAATTTGTAAAAAAAATATAAAAATGGCTGTGAGGCAAAATGGCCGTCCTAAGCATAATAATAAAAAAATATTAGAAAGATAACGCTACATAAATACGGCATAACGTACTTATGTTAATTCTCAATCAAATCAATCAACAAAACATACAAAAAATACATAATAATTCTATACAACAATTTTTACTTACCAACTGAATTCATTGGAATTGCATCGTTCATCTTGACGATCACTTGTGCTCCCAAAGGAATATTTCCGTTAAGTTGATTTGCACTTACAGAGACCGATTGGCCCTGCATAGTAAACCGAAAATATCAATTTTGAAATAAAAAATATCTTTTCAACACACACTTTAGAAAGTCAACTATAAAAACTTAATTTTCTTTCCTGGCCGACAACTCGTTATCGAAACGCCAGCCCAGAAAATGACGAAATTGACGAAAACACGAACAGACATTTGACAGATACAGATCATGAAAAAGATCGTTACCACAGAACAGAGAGCATGACGACTGCGCGGGCTGTAGCAGAGGCTGTAGTGAGAGTGAGTATGAATCTAGAAAGTAATACAAAGTACAAAGCGGATAGATCAGTCGTTTAAATATAAACCTGATATAAACTGATACAAACTAAAGCAAGATAGAGTATAAACGGTACATGTTTAATTGTTTCTGTTGAGACATAGTTTAATGTTCCATGCGCGTTGTAATAATTGCGCAAACAAAAGTTCATCAAAAAGATTTCCGGCGATAGGCTATCAAAATTTTCCATTAAAGGCCTAGGTAATTACCAAGGCCTGTTTGCCATAGGTGTTGGTTAGGTTGTAGCTTATGGTTGTAGCGACGAATTTTTATTTAATTTTACATTTTTTATATTAACCTTTTGACGCGGTACTGTTTGAAGACAAATTTTAACCAGTGCCTTCTATTAAAAGATCAGCCTACGGGCGGACTTTTGTTTACTTCATCAGCTGTACATACTTAGATATTGGGTTAGATTCCGTTTCATATTTTGTCGGTTGATTTTTGGTTTTAACTCTTTGATTTTTGGTATTATTTATTATTGTAGTGCAAAAAACTAATTATTTTGGTGTTGAAGTGACAAACTACTACCAGATATATGGTCACTCTCGGTTTCGCATAAAAAAATAGAAATTTTAAAAATTACACGTTGTGTAAGTGATTTAACCTAAAAGTGCCCATACATTTTTTACTTATCGTGATTTTTGTGTGTGTTTTTTAAGACTCTAACAATTCATCAATAAAGCTTAAGTGGAGTGTGTTATTGGTGCTATGCCTCATCTTTGTTGTGTTCCTGGTGGAAAGGATAGTTACTAAGGATAGTTATTATACTAGGCAGCCTAAAGTGTCCGGAAGAGCAAGAAAAGTGGGTACGAGTTATAAATCAAGAGAATTTTATTGAAAATATCTTTAATAAATTTAAAAATAATATTCTCCCATGATGGTATTAATGAAAACTGGACAACTATGTTTATTTTATTCATATTGTGGAATCTCCACTCCAAGTGTTGTTGGTTCAGCTTCGATAGATTCAAACACGTAAGTAGGTATTATGATCTAGGGAAAAATAAAGAATATGTGTATTAAAGATCATGAAAAAGATTATTACTTTGAGTTCATTTTAAAAAAGATTTTTGTAAAGACAAGACAGATACAGTTTAAAAGAAGAATGTGTTTTTGTTTGATAATATATAATGTATGTCAAGCATAACATATATTTGTTCAGTAATTTTTAATGAAAGGTGTTGATTATTTATAATACCAAATTAATATCAAATATTTAAGTGATGGCTCAATACAATATGAATAAAATAACAATAAAATTGGTATATTTGCATAATACAAAATTAAGTTTTAAGAATAAAGGTGTTACTAAAAATACTAAGAAATTCATATTTATTTGTTTTAATTGGTCTAATGTTATTTACATTTTATGTAAGAATTATACCGTATCATCGAAAAAAATCGGCGTCTAGTTGGCTTGGAAATGAACATCGATGACATGCCCTAAATAACTGTACACATAAAATAATTAACTAGAATTTTACAATCTTGGAAAATTTGATATTCTTGAATCTTGTTTCTAAATATACTAAATTTTTTGATTTTCTTGGGATTTAGGTTCGGGAAAAACGCTGATTAAGTTTTCATTTGGTTTTTCATTATTTTTATTTGGTTTAAAAAAAAAACGGTTCGGCTAACATTATAGCCTTCATCAGTGTTGTGTCATATGAAAAAAATAGTGTCGAATATAATCCAAAAAATTACATATAAAATATTCATACCACGCACATAATGTTTACTGCGTACTGCGTACTCCATAGTCAATGTAGATAATTTTAGTGTTAAGAATAATAATTTTAAAAAATATGTGGTCATGTTTTGATTAGTTTATATTAGTTTATTAATTGCAGTAAATATTATGAGGTGTGAATTATATTGTATATGTAATTTTTTGGATTATATTCGACACTATTTTTCTCATATGACACAACACTGATGAAGGCTATAGTTAGCCGAAACGTTTTTTTAAACCAAATAAAAATAATGAAAACCCAAATGAAAACTTAAATCAGCGTTTTTCCCGAACCTAAAAATCCCAAGAAAATCAAAAATTTTAGAATAATTTTACATATAAAATGCCAGCGATCTTCATTTCATAGCCATCGCTGACGCCTTTTTTAGATAATATTGTATTATTTGTAAATATAATTTTTCGAAGATTGATACTTGCAAGATATACATATAAATTTTGTGAATGCAAATAATAATACATCACTATTATTAGATATTGAATGTTTTTTGTTAAATTAGATCGATTTTCAAACCCCAAAATTTAAAATATATTTACATTTTACCCATTATGTTATGTACCTATACACTATTTGTACATCGTAAAACATTTGCTGCATTTGTATGGTTCATAGTTTATTTGCCAAAGTATTTATTACTATAAATAGGTATATATGTTGTAGTTATTAACTGTATATTATGTATATTTTATTTAAACTATATCATTTTTAAAATACAAACCAAAAATCTGAGGAATAATTATGTTTTCCATGTATTCTACAACATATTTATTAATCCGTTATATCTAACTAGCGTGACGTCATAAATCTCGCCCCAAGGCTGATCTTTTAATAGAAGGCACTGTTTTAACCATTTGGTGTTTCGTGCATGGCGCATGGCTATTGGTCCTTGTTGTGCGCCTTCATGGAACAGAGCACAAAGCGCTTTCATGATCAAAAGATCAAGAAAGATATCGGCTGGCCGTATTTGTGTGTAATTTTTTTTTATTCAAAGGTAAAAATTAAAAATAGACTGTTTGACATAGACTGACCGTCCCTGAACGCGCACTTATTTAACCCGTTTATTAAGAATATACGATACGTATAAACAAGGCAAAGAAAAACATGGATATAACGTGCGGATCAAGGGTGTGGATATAACGTATAACATAAGATATATTTCACAGACAACTTAGTTCGTGGCACAGGTTAGTGGAGCCAAGTGGAGCTAAGTTTGAACTTATTAGGCATTCCTTTTTCCCGCGCTGTCACACTTGGCCTTTGACTTGGCTCCAAACTCTGCACAGCCCTGGTATCGATGGGATTACCGATATCGACAGATTAAGGATATCGACAATATCGATTCGCCCTTATTGGACTCTACCCATCCCCATCCTTGACCCCTACCAAGTATGATCAATTGATGGCAGAGATATAGAAGGTAGCGACCTTTACGGCCTGAGCTGCCAGGGCTATACGGCCAAGAAAAAAACTATTGACAAATGATTGACAACTTAACCTCTTTGATATGTTTCATGTTTGTTTTTGTTTATGTTGTAGTTTGTCCAAAATCTGTTTTATTAAAAGGTAACTAAAAATGTTTTATTATACACAGTCTAATTATTGTTTTTATCATTATTAGATATGAGTGATAACGAAATATCTGGAAATGAGTCAGAAAGATCAAATTCAAGCAGAGAAAATGAGGGTAATCGGGAGTCTTCCGAAGATGAACCCGATTCAGACGATAGTTCAGATATGGATGAAGGAGAATGTGAAACGAGAAGAACCGAGTTAATACAGCACGTTCAAGATTTAGAAAATCAGTTTAGTCTGCTTCGAGAGCAATTGTACAGAGAGAGAATTCAGCAAGTCGAAACACAATTAGCCGAAGTAAAGTCAGGAAAATCACCAGATTATCTTATTCCTCTGCAACATTTAGAAGAACAAAAACGGATTCGTACAGAAGTAGCTGGAATTTTGAAACAGCTTCGCCTCGAAAACATTAACAACCACTATGATGCCGAGAAGCAAGCTGCTTTACAAAATTTTGAAAGTGAGAAATGTTTAGCAAACGATTATTACTATAGCGAACTAATGGATACTATTCGAAAGCTGGAAGAGGACAAGCAAAATAGTGAAATTACGTGGGGTGAGGGGGGAGAATGGGGAGCTAGATCTAGGTCGACGTCAAGAAAAAAAGCTGTTACAGTTTCTGGACCCTATATTGTGTATATGCTTAAACCACAAGATATAATGGAAGACTGGACAATAATTAAAAAAGCTATGAAACGTGCAACTTGATGTAAAAATATAATGTTAATTATTTGTAAAAATAAGTATAACTGTGGTTTTAAATGTATCAAGAGAAGTATATGTGATCTATGTGTAGGTTTTCCCACAACTGCTTTATTAAAAGATTTTTTAGGATCTTATTTAGATACAAATTTGAATATTTCAAATTTTAGCCATTTATGGAATCGAAGTTGATATGTTTTAAAAGTTTTGTCTAAAACTTTTTAAAACCTGTTTAAAATTTATGTTTTAAATGTTTGGTGTGTAGGAATTTTTTTCAATAAATAATAAAATCTCTCCAACTATTTAATATAAAAAAAAGAATTCTAATATGAAAGGATTAACAAAAAAAATTATCACCTCAACCTAATATTGTCCTGAAAAAAAAATCATTCAACTTGCAATAGGTTTGGTGCTGCCCCTATCGGAAAATATCGTAAAACAACTGATGGATTGGTATTACATATACATAGTTATATAGTAATAATTTTTAATTTTAGAAGATGTTCATAAAACATTTAATCCCTAGTTGATTAAAAAAAGTATACCATTAATATTGCCAATTATATTTTATCCTCTCATAGTATACCGGGTGCGTCTCAAAAGTGGCTCACCCCTATATAACTTTTTTATTTTTTCGGATAAAACAACGATATTTGGTATGTTAGTATATCATAAATTGGGATTGTTTGACGTATTCAATTGTTTTTGGTCACTTCTGGTTTCAACGGAAATTACTACAATTTTTGAATTAGCACCCTCGGTATTTTTTTGCTTTATTTAATAGAAAATGACACTCTGAATCGAATGACATATCATATTATGTCAACTTTTGATATTTTTGCATATGGTTTATTTGAAATTGTAACGTGCGGTTCATAACGACAATTTGACTCAAAATTAATGCTTTTAAAAAAATGCTTTTTCCAAATATGCTAATGAGCCACCCTCGTTCGATTAGACGATCAAATCTATTGTTCCAAGGCTCTTTGATTAAAAATTAGTGTTTTTAACACAGCCATATGGTACTCTAGAATGAAATTTAAAATATAATTTGTTTTTGAGTGACGATCTGACTATGTCAAAAATTGACATGATATGTCATTCGATTCGGAGTGTCATTTTCTATCGAATAAATTAAAAAAATACCGAGGGTGCCATTTAAAAATTGTAGTCATTTCCGGTGAAACCGGAAGTGACCGAAAACAATTGAATACGTCAATCAATCTCAATTTATGTCATAGTCATAGAAATAGAATATATAAAAATAGTCATAGAATTTATGTTAGTGTCATAGAAAACTAACATACTTAAATATTATGACAAAATCACCATTTCAATATTGTTTTAATGCGATCAACATGAACTGTAATCGGGACGGCGCGGCGGATTCAATTATCAATCAAAATTATATTTGGAGAGCCAACAATTTAAGTATTGTTCAGTATCAAAGAATTTTTAAAAAGCAAAGTTAAGTACATTTATTTTTAACATTTTTTTTACAGCAAATAAACTAAAAGAAAAATGTTTCCATTATAAAAAAAAATAATTTTCTATAGTTTTTTTAACGGAATATTTGATGGATTTTTATTATATTATTATGGATATATTTTAAATCAAACCAAACACACTGTATAATGTATAATATCCTTGTTTAATAATATCCAATAAATTTTTTGTAAAAATTTGATATCTAAAAATACTTTTAAAATTTGGAAATAACCTTAACTTAAAACACTCAAATTTGTATCAATATGCGATCATATAAGAAATTAATGAACTGGTTATATGAAAAACTATTTTGGTAAACCCTAACATCATGAACAATGGAAAAATAAAAAAAGAATATTGTGGCAACTAGAAACATAAATATAGCATGCTTACTATAACAAAGTTTATTTTATATATTTAAAAACAATACATAAATAAATAAGCACATTGTTAATATATAACATATCTAACAGTAACAAGTTTAAGCCTCAGGTGAACCATCTAATTGAATAGGTTCATGCAAGTTTTCTGTATTTAATTTGTTCTGATTAAATTCTTTTGTATCAAAGTTTGGTTCAACTTTGGGAGGTAAAAAATGTTTAATACAATCAACTATTAAGTCTCTCCTTAAAAATGAGATATTCTCTTCTTCCAAAACTTGAATGCTAACACCTAATTTATTTGCAATTTTATTAGATGGAAAAATTGTGTGAATGCATTTTTGAATATATGGAATTAAATCATCAGAAAAGGTCATACAGAGTCTTGTAAATGCGTCCTTTGAATTGTTTGTAAAGGCCTGTTGTTCTTGTGAATGTAATCTTACTATAGATTTTGCTATCGCAATTAAAGAATTTTCCAGGGTATTTGTCACATCATTTAGAAGAGTTATTGGAGCAAAAACTCTAAATGCATTAAAGGTTCTTAAAACATTGTTTAAATATTCAGCTAAGGGGTAAAACTCCAACAAACTATCTGGAGGATGAAGTGGATCGCCATCTTTATTTCTCCAAGGAATATTTGGCAAGTGTTTATTTATCAATGTAAAGTTCTCAATACTTCTTCCGAAAGTGGTCAGTGCTTTTGAAATAGAGGCTTTAAAATTTTCACTAATTTGTTTAGTAAATATTGGAATTAATAATAATCTGAAGTCACAGCCCACTTTACCAAAAGATGATCCAAAATACATACACTGTTCCATAATAGCTTCTGTTAAAACACTGTATTTCAAGTCCTCTTCTAAAGTAACTAAAAAGTCAGATATCTAAAAGTACACAATAAATTAAAAGATTTTAAATGATTTCTTAAAATTACTCTATCATTAATCCAAGAGTAAAATATGTTGTTCTCATTTACATCACTCTTTATTGAATTTATTGGACTATAATCTTCATTAAAAATTGCTTTGTACTGTGTTATTATATTAAATAAATTTACTCTTGTCAATTCTATGGTCCTTTTAAGGTGGTGTGTAGCTACAAAAAGGAAAACTAAAGTGATTGGATAAAACAAAATAAAGATAAATTACGATCTTCTCTAGGAATATACTTTAAACATTGTTCCAACCAATATCCTCTAGCTTGCAAGAATTTAAGTTTTAACTCTAATTCTGTAAAAATCTCCATAAGTCTTAAATGACCCACTATTTGAATACACTTTGATAAAGTTAAATCTTGCTTTAACTGAGACAATAACTGGTGTAACATTAAAAACCATGCATCGTTTACATCTTTAAGAATACTCTAAAAGTCAAGAGTAAACAAAAAACATTAAAAAATATGTTTTAAATACCTTAAAAATAGGAATGTCACTATATTTTGTACATAATTTTCTAACATAGGCTACTAGCTCCAAGGCTTCTTCATATAATCCATCATTTATAAAAGAATTCATTAATTGGGGCAGTTCTAAAATTTCTAGCAATTGTGCATTTCTTGTAAGAGTTAAGGAATTCAACTTTCTTAAATGGTTTATTTGGCCCGTTTCTTTACTAAAATTGGTAGATTTTTCTTGAAATTGTGGGATGTCAATTAATAGGTTGTTAAGTTTATGTTCGATCATATTAAATTGGCTAAAAAGTTCCTTAGAGCACTCGGACGTTTCAATAAACGTTTTATAATTTGTTACTGCTAAATCTTGAGTCTGGTCTTGAATATTATTATACTCCACATTTACATGTTGCGGTTCTTTTAATAATTCTTCGACTTTGTATTTTCCTAGTAAAGATAAGTACTTTTTAAAATTAGCTTGATAATCCTCTTCAACTGAAAATAATAAGAAATTTATATAACCAGAAGTATACTGGATATTTTTATTTTACTTGTATAACCTTCAGGAAAAATCAGTGATATTAACAAATTTTTTTCTTCGTCCATTTTTTGGCGTATATATTAATAATACAAAAACTATGTTGTGTTATAAATAACCCATATAAATAACCAAAGGTCCACACCATAAAATAATTAACTAGAATTATAACTTTGACAGAACGAAATCTTCCGTACAAAAAATTAGGACAACTATGTAGGACATGTGTAGGACAACATTTTGGTACGCCATCTATGACACGGATTTAGAACTACAAATTAAATTTAAAAAAAGAAATCTGCAATTAAATTTTAAAAAGTAATCTGCATTGCATTCAAAGCAGAGCTTTCAAGGCACTCAGAAAAATAGTAAACATAGCGATAAAATTATAAAAACTTGGAGAATTGTAGGAAATTTAATGTAGATTTAAAATATATAAACCATTAAAGGCTTAAAAATTTTTCTTTTATGAGTAAATTATTTTTTTTGGACCCTTGCAAAATTTAACCTATTCAACGAAGCGACTTTCAAGGCACTCAGAAAAATAGTAAACATAGCGATAAAATTATAAAAACTTGGAGAATTGTAGGAAATTTAATGTAGATTTAAAATATATAAACCATTAAAGGCTTAAAAATTTTTCTTTTATGAGTAAATTAATTTTTTTGGACCCTTGCAAAATTTAACTGATTCAACGAAGCGACTTTCAAGGCACTCAGGAAAATAATAAACATAGCGATAAAATTATAAAAACTTGGAGAATTGTAGGAAATTTAATGTAGATTTAAAATATATAAACCATTAAGGGCTTAAAAATGTTTCTTTTATGAGTAAGTTAATTTTTTGGACCTTATATGGAGCTTTTTTGTAGTAATTATATGCCACCAGAAATACACGAAATTATTTTATAAATTTGGATGTTTTCTAATATGTTTCGTTTCTTTTACAGCTTTGATGCTAAGATACGAAGGTGATTTTGAAGGCCAACGAGATGATTTTTTAAGCCAATACCGAATATCATAAATGTGTCTCTACAGGTAAAAAGAAATGTTTTTTTCTCTGTGGTAATCTTACATTCTGCTTTTTACAGATTCAAAGTTTTTGAGGACATTTGATTAGGCTGTGACCGAGACATATTCTTACAGTTTGCCACTGGATCTCGCAAAGTGCTCCTTCAAGGATTTGGTGCTCTGAGGGGATGAACGTCGTTCAAAAGTTTCAAATTCATAGAGATGACTGTTCTACCGATCGTTTACCTTCCGCGCATACTTGGTAATTTTTTTTGCAGTAAATAATTCAATATCTGCTGTATCTCTATTCAGAAGTCATTAAAAAATCTTTTCGCAATATCAAATTAGGAAGAAAATTCTTTCACAAGTTAAAATATAATTTATCAAAAACTCAACTTTTTTCAATAATCTTTTATATTATATGGTATGAAAAATTGCAACGTTTTTTTAACTTTTATATGGTGGATATGCCATTTAATCTGTAGTCCAAAAATACCATAATGTTTAGTCTCTGGTTCAGTGTAACTCACAAATGTGCAGAAAAATTATTCTAAAAATGGTCGTATTTCAAAAATCACTCGGTATAGAATACAATATGGTATTTTTGAAATGGAAATTTAATGGTATATCCACTAAGCTAATAAAAAATATAGCATTCCTTTTAAAAATATACAACTTTAGTTTGACACTATTTTTGACTCACTCAGAATTATTTTTAAAGTATGAATTACCATTTTCTGTATGTATTAAAAAGATTAGAGTGCCTGATCTCGAATTAGAAATCTTAAATAGAGCATTAGGTATGCAACCAGTAATACACGAAACCGCTCATTAAATTTAGATGTTTTCTAATAAGTGTTATTTCTTTTACAGCTTTAATCAATTGGATCTTCCAGTATACGGGACTATTACGGTAAACTAAGGGCATACTTGCTGAAGGCTATCCATAAAAAATGTTCTGAAGATTTTGAATTTGCCTAAATAATGCAATAAACGTTAAAGACTGATGTGTTTATTTGTACTTATTTATATAGTAGTCTTCAGTCTTCAGTGTCGGACCTTTTTTAGAAAATTAATTTTATTTTTCAGAAACTATTTGAGACAGAGTTTACCAAAAATGCTTTTTATATCTACTAGTGGGTAACTGAATTTGTAGATATATTATGACTTTTCTTGGAACTTTAGTTTCGGACATATTAATTTAATCGGAACTTTTTCAGAAACTCTTTGAGACAGAGTTTACCAAATATGCTTTTTATATCTACTAGTGGGTAAATGAATTTCTAGATATATTACGAATTTTTTTGGAACTTTAGTTTCGGAGATATAAATTTAATCGGACCTTTTTACAAAAATTAATTTAATTTTTCAGAAACTATTAGAGACAGAGTTTACCAAAAATGCTTTTTATATCTACTAGTGGTCTTCAGTGTATATAAAAATATCTCTTCAAGATCCTCGAACGTTCAGCTGGCTAGCAGACATCACTTATGTTAGTTTGTTCAAAAACATCACAAACTGTATATTCTCTAGTAGAGATTTAAAGCCTTTTTAATTAAATACCCTATGATCGAGAAAAAACGGCGTCAGCGTGGCTATGATATTAAGATCGCTGTCAATTTATATGGAAAATGTCATCAATCGTCATTTCCCAGCCAACTGGACACCGTTTTTTTTCGATCATACGGTATTTAATACAATATATTATATGGTTATATTCTATTACATCTGTATCATTTAATTTAAATAAATATTTACCTTTCGATTATTTATTGTTTCATTAATCCCCAGATTACCCTTTCTTATTATTAATATTTTAATTCCAAATTATTATCGATATTTACGTTTTTCAAAAAAAATCTAAAAAATCTCTCGTTGGTCAAGTATTTTAATTAATTTATTTATTAGTTTTTAAAAATGCATTTTTAAAAAGAAACCTTCACCATTTTGTCAAGAAGATCAGAATTATTTTTGATTGTAAATTTGGTGGCATCATTTAAAATTTTTTTAAAAAGCATTTAAAAAAAAAAAAAAACCTTCACCATTTTGTCAAGAAGGTCAGAATTATTTTTGACTGTAAATTTGTTGGATTGGTTGGCATCACTTTATACCATTTGAAATTAAATATTGTGTACAGGGTGTCCCATTTTCGTGTGTTTTATGGGGACAACTGAATTTACTTTGATTTTCGAAGGACTATATATCGTTTATGTATTTCAGGCTTTGCAAATTCTTTTAATTATTTAAGCTTAATATTTTTTGATATACCTAGGTTGGAAAATAAAATACATTTGTACATATAATAAATTTATTCATGACAATAAGTATAATCGTAGTGGGTATATATTACAGCTTTACAAATACAACGTGCAGTAGTATTAACATATCATCGAATATTCTTCGGAGATCGGAATAGGCCTATGGTTGGTTCGCTGCTCAAGTGGGCTGTGGAACTCTGGAGCAATCTGAAACAAAGAATAAAAATATGAAATTGAACCGGTTGTGTTAACACTGCAAATAATCAATAAATAAAATTTAGATAATTTTAAATTCCGTAATTTTTTACAACTAGAATTAACTAAAATATATTTTTGAAGAGATACTAGTTTTAAAAATATAAATATTTAAATTTTAACTTAAATTATGTAAAAACATTTGCGTTTGTACTAAGAATGTATGTACAAATAACAGAATTTAATCATTTTATCTAAATTTTACATAAAAAAAATCGTAGAATTAAAAAAATGAGATCAGTGTGATCAAAACGAAGTGTTCCTATCGCAAGTCCGCGTTCTGTTCTATATCTTCAATGGGGAATATACAGGAGGATCAAGTAAGTAGGAGTACCAATAACAGCTGCAGTTGTTACGGAACAGGTTTATGGTACAACCTATAAACAGAAATAATTGTATAATATTGTTTCCATCATACAAACAATATTTACTAAACATCCCAGCAGAAAAATTTTCTGAACGGCCTCAAAGAAATATGATTAAAAAAAATGTTTAGGTAGTCTGTACTTATATTCTTGTGCAATTGTGTAACATAAGAATACTAGTACTAAGCCAGAACTAAAATAAATGTACTGATTTCTTTCGAAAATCGACAACTATGAAACTATGAACCCTTCCCGGACACAAACGGTACATTGTGAGACAGGAAATTGTAGAGAGAAACAGTCACAGTGTATATTGTATGAAACGTGTGTGTAAAACTATTTTATTTTATCTGAAAGTATTACTATAGATAATTATTGAGCATTAGGTGCCCCCTTTACTAACACCGACAAAGACGTAGAAAATACTAGTTTGCCTGCATGGTCCAAAAAATACCAAATATACATATCTAAATATGGAGCACTATACTAAGTAACTTACTTGAGTAGCCATATATGCTATGCAGGTCCCCAATCGCCAAACATCAGAGTCAGAGAATGATCCAGGTGCCCTCTTTTGTGGAAGGATGCAGAAAGACACCGTTCTCTTGTGTGGTATTATTAACATGTCTAAAACAAAATGAAACATATTTAAAACACTCAAAACAAAATAAACACTTTACTATTAAAGTTTAGCAAATTATATTTACTCAAAACGTGAATAATAAAAAAGGTTTTTGTCTTTTAAAGGCAATCTGGGGACATACACGCGTTTCTCTATGTGGTATTACTAGAAAATACTGTATTACAAAAAAAACTTACATCTTTTAAAGGTGAAAATTGTTTGAACACAGCCAGTGTCGCAGTATTTGCAGTGCCGTGTTGCCAAGTACCATTCAAATAACTCCGTGTCGCAAAAACTCTTGTCGCCACAGTTTTTCAATACTCTTGTAAATGAACTGACGCAAACCTGACGTATTCCTAAAATGAAAAAGAAATTAACATTGTTCTTAACGGTATTACATTTTTGTAAAGGATAGGCAACCAGTAAATCAAAATTAAAATGAACTAAATTCAAAATTAATTCATTTTACGTGTACTTTAATTTTTTTAGGTTTATTTAACAACTTGATTCAACAAACCAAAAACTATTACAAATAGATTTTTTTTCTATCTATAATATATTAATTAATATAAAAAATAAAACTTACTTTTAATTCCTTGTAATCTAGTGTTTAGAAATACAAGATTGAGCTAAACTATGTCATGCTATCCTCCATTTATCATAAATCTTTGTCTCCTGATGCATATTCATCTGCCTGCAGCTGATTGAACCCTTGGTCAAAGATTAAGCATCACCCGGCTAATAGACATAGAAGGTGGTAACTTCCTTGGGTACCCATATATGCTATGCAGGTCCCCAATCGCCAAACATCAGAGTCAGAGAATGATCCAGGTCCCCTCTTTTGTGGAAGGATGCAGAAAGACACCGTTCCCTTTGTGTGGTATTATTAACATGTCTAAAACAAAACAAGATATATTTAAAACACTCAAAACAAAATAAACAATTTACTATTAAAGTTTAGCAAATTATATCTAGCAAAATATTTTTATTGATAAAACAAAATTATTTTTAATCATTAAATTAATAAAAAACCATCTATCAAAGAATGAAAACGAGATACTGCTACCACAGATATTCTCATAATTTTTTAAGTTTCTCTAACAGTATGGAAATTAGGAAAACTATAAATGGGATTAACCATTTTAGAAGAAGCAAAATGTTTGTTTTAGAAGCAAAAAAGTTTCTCCTCTCTCCAAGACAATCTCAAAACATATATTAATAAAAATAAAACTTACTTTGAATTTCTTGTACTGCAGTAGTTGAAGATAGAGCTAAGCCTTTATATAAACCTCCTCTGATAAATCTTCGTCTCCTGATGTGATTTTTGATGTTTTACCTTCCTGCCCCCAGCTAATTTAACCTATGGTCAAAGATAAACCCTCAGCCTCCACCAGCTTTTAGACATGGAGGGTAGTAACTTTCTCGGGTACCTGTACTTGCTATGCAGGTTATTGATGGCCGAACATCAAAGTTAGAGGATAATCCAGGTCTCCTCTTCTGGGAAAGGATACAGAAAGACACCATTCTGATTTATTCTAAAAGACGTAGAAAATGCTTTTTTACCTGAATAATCAATTACGTCAAAACAATGGGTACTTACAGTTTCCAGTAGATTAAACAGGCCTTAAGGGACAGAATATGCTCAAATAGTGCACAGAAAAATCACTTTTTCTACCAGAAAATCAGAAAAATTGTAAAAGAAATTTCCACAACGAAAAATGTCGCCCAGTCATGATCATTTTTTGCTGCATAAATAATGCTGTGTCTAAAAGAAAATATCGATACCTTACTTTGAAAACCTCGTAAGTTCAATTTTGGCAAAATGACATTATTAGCTTTACTGTTTTAAGGTTTTAATACGTCATCGTATTATGGAAACAAAATAAATTATTTTTCTATAATTCGCCATCTATTGACGAAATTGAAAAGCTCGTAAAAGAAATCTGTGTTACCTACTAACGGAAAACCACGTAAGGTTAAACTAGACCGTTGACAGTGTGAAGGTTAGAACAGACTCCTTGAAATTTTTGAAAATACATCCGGTAATACTTTAAAGGTAAGTGTTTTGTTTACTCATCATATAGTTTATTGTATGCTGCAGGCGTAGAAGTAATTTTATTGTTATGCTAAGCTATTTTACTGTTATATTATTTCATATTAATTTTGCAAAGCAGTTACGAGGTTTTCTATGACCGAATTTTAAAAACGTTACGGAACTTACGAGGTTTTCAAATATTTTTTAATTTTTGTTTCAGCAATGAATTCAAGAACGACAAAGATTTTGCAACTATGCAACAGTTTGAATGCTATTTCGCCATCTACGTCTACGTATGATTTGAGCACAAAAATTGATTTTAATATTTCACTGGGAAATGACTCGCTTAATACAAATACAAGCAAAATAATGGCTCATCTAGGTATCGGCGACAGCGGCGATGTCCTGATTTTACCTCTTGAAGGCGAATTATTTCCTCTTGATGGTGACACAGCATTCTCCGAAACTGTAATAACATGAGTCCAGAACCCCTACAGCAACAATTATCAATAGTTGCAGCACAAGAAAATAAAAACCATAAGGAAGCCATCGAGTTCCGGCCGAGGCACCAGGCAAGCTTAGATGATGACGAGGATGATGATGAATCCGTAGATCCCATTTACAAACCAAATGGAAACGTTTTGAGCAGCGATGAAGACGAAGAAGAAGAGCCATTGGTGGTTAGGATATCAGAAAAAGAAAACCAAAATGATGCCGACGAGTTTAACGGTGACGATCCTGGTTATGAACCGAATGGAAACGAGGACAGCAGCGAAGAAGATGATCAAGAAACTCCGAAGTTAAAGCGGCAACGCAAAGAAAAGGTAATAAAGAAAACTGGGATTATAATCGCAATAAGGGATAAGAGAATGAGAGGGATGGATTATAATGGAAGAGGAAAAACTGAAGATGGAAAAGCTGTATACAATAAACCACGCCTGCTCGTCAACTGTTACCACCATGCAATTGTAAAATAAGTCTAAAGGGCAAAACCTTAAAATGCAGGGTATTTTCACCAGAAATACGACAAGAAATTTTTACCGAATTTTGGGAAAAACTAAATTGGCAAGAACGCAAGCAGTATGTACGAGGTGTGGTAGATGTAATGCCGCCAGTTAAAAAAAAAATCTAATGAAACCTCAAGGCGTCAATCAACTTTAGTTTTAAAATTAAAGAAAGATGGAGTCTCTCAGCGAGTGTGTAAGAAAATGTTCCTGAACACGTTAAGTATTGGTGAATGGTCCTTGCACAGTTGGGCCAACACTTTAAAACAGGCTACGAATAATATTGCCGAAATAAACCAACAACGATCTAACCCTCGAAGTGAATCAAACAAAATGGTGTGTAAGTTTTTTGATAACTTACCCAAAATGGAGTCGCATTACTGCAGAGCTAGAAGTAATAAATTATATCTAGAGCCCATCTGGCAATCCAAAGTCGACCTTTTTAACGAATATCGAAAGTTTTCTGAGAGGGAAGACTCAGAAATTCGAACTGTTTCAATAAAAACTTTCTCACTGGCATTTGAGAAACTAAATCTTAGTTTATTTATTCCCAAAAAAGATCAATGCGACGTTTGCACAAATTTTAAGGCAAGAAATCTCCCTGAAGACGACTACCTACAACACCAAATAAGAAAGGAAGACGCCAGGAATGAAAAAGAGAAAGACAAGGCAGAAGCTAAACATGTTTATTGTATGGATTTGCAGAAAGTCCTACTGTCACCACATTCAAATGTTTCATCCTTATATTATAAACGGAAATTATGTGTCCACAACTTCACAATTTATAACATGAAGAATAATGATGGATTTTGTTATATTTGGCATGAAGGTGAAGGTGATATAACTGTTAACGAGTTCGCAAGCATTATTTGCAATTTTCTTTTGAATCAAGAAATAAATAATGTTGGAGAGGAAGTGATTCTTTACAGTGATAACTGCGGTTACCAAAACAAGAACGTCACCTTATCTAATGCTTTATTAAATTTGGCCTCACAAAAACATAAATATTATCCAAAATTCTTGGAAAAGGGGCACACCCAAATGGAGGTGGATAGCATGCATGCTTGTATTGAACGCAGGTTAAGGAACCGTGACATAAGTGTCCCAGCCGAATACGCAACTCATATTTTAAAGACGCGGAAGTCGCCTAGACCTTACAACGTTCAATACCTAAACCATAATTTTTTTTACAACTATCCAAAAATTAATTTCATAACCTCTATTAGACCAGGAAATCGATCAGGAGATCCAGTTGTAAGTGATTTAAAGGCTATTAAATACACGCCTAACAATGAAATATTTTTTAAATTAAAGCATACAGATGGATGGACCATTTTAAAAAAGCGCTTTAACAAAAACATTCAGCCGATTCCAAACAATTCGTTGCCAAAGCTTTATTCTCGGCCAAGGGAAATAACCAGAGACAAATTTAATAACTTGCAAGAATTAAAAAAGTTCTTTACTTCGGACTTCCACACTTTTTATGATCAATTAAGATTCAAATAAGTTCATTTCTTCAGTTGTTTTAAAAGTTCTTGTGTTGATAATGTTATACCGCAATTTTTCCAGTTTGTTATTTTTTTATACCTACTTAAAGTGCAATGTTTTAAACAAGTTTCAAACTGTATTTTACCAAAGATTTATGTTTTACCTATCAAAATTTTGTTTTTGATAGTTTATATTATAGTATTTTTTGCCTATACCCTTGTTCCAAAATTATTATTATAATTAAATAAAACTATTTTCATTCTGAAATTTTTGTTATTTCTTGCACGTTCAAATGAAAAACACTTAATTTATTTTTTTTGCTGCAAAAAATGGAAAAACTCAGTAAGTTATTGTAAATAATTATAAAAATCGAGTTATGGAATTCCCCTATCTAGATTTTGTTTTCAAGTGTAAATATAACATTTGAAAACCTAATTTGAACAATATATCCAAATAAAATATTGTTTAATATAGTTTTTTTGTTTCTCCTGTAAAAACATCTGTTAGGCACATACGAGGTTTTCAAAGTAAGGTATCGATATTTATTCTACAGATATAAATATAATAATATTTCCTGCAAAGATTGGACTACATTTTAGGCCAAATTCAAAAAAATTATAAAGCTAGTCCTAGTGCAAGACAATTTACTTTACTTAATGCTAATATGGTCTAATGTCATTAATATTTCTTGTTTCTAGACTAAGATATAACAAATTTTTTGCCTGCATTGATTGTATATGTGTATAAGAATAAATTTATATGCTTTCCCCTTTGCCTAAAAATATTTTTGAACACCTTAATAACCTTCTTTATTTTGAGAAAATCACCATTTCAGTATATAGAATAAAGGAACTTTTTAATGTATGTAAAAGTATACTTGATTTTGATTTTTTTAAGGGTACTTACCATCACAGTTGTATCCACCCTCAATTTGATAAACTGCTGTTGCCATTCCAAGCTTGAATTCCACGGGAATTGCAAGCAAAGTACAAAATATCCCAGCAAAAAACACATACACAAATAATAACTTCATGTTTTTACATTCCATTACATCTGTTTTGTTTTATCAATAAGCTATTAGTTTATCCTGTTTCCAACTTCATAAGTGAATACCGTATTTATCTCTGGTTATAGGGTGAGATCATACAGGAGAGCATCTATAAAACAATGAACTTTCTGTAAAGTAGTCACTCATTTGTAATATACCAACTACTAAATACAACAAGCTATGAGGGCGACTGTCGTTAAACATATTCAATGTTTAATGTAATTTTTTTTCTGTTAAAATGTAGCTTACAATTTTTGAAACGGTAATGTCCATGATTTGTATGATTTATTTTTAATATCATAGAACCTTATAATAAACAGAAATAAATACCTATAATACACCATAATAATACACTATATGCCTTTTACCAATTACTTAACTGGTGCTATGATGGTGCTATGTTTACCTTTTTTAGCTTCATAGAACATGTTTGTTGGCTTGTTTATGATTACTTTCAATTACTACATTCATTATCGCTGCTGAACGTCACATATTTCTATGCAGCTTACGTATTTTCAATTCTGAATTATCAATATAGTTATTAAACGTTTCTTGTTATTTGTATTTCTCTTGTATTTCATTTATATATTTTCGAACCACTTCTGATTTAAGGTTAGGTGAAGATAAGCCGGTTGCGGTGATTGATTTTTCAACGAATTTCCTGTAACGTTCAAAAATAAGAGAAGAAATGAAGAAATACATCAATTAAAGTTACCTTATTATCGAAAAATTGGAGCAACGTTACTTTAGATATGCCGTTCGAGAGCAAAAACCATATTATTTTACTGGCAAGAAATTATCCAACTGCATTTAACTTTGATATAACGGTATCTTGACGCCTTTTTTCGACCCCATCTGTGTTATTACGATTAATTTGCTTGATCAAAATGTTCTATTTTGTAATGGGGCAAACTGGAAACATGCTGGAACTTCCTATAAATAATTGGAAAAATTATTTTAAAAAAAGTAACAAAAAACATTCCCAAGTTTATAGCTCCTAGCATTTACGGGGTGAATTGCAAGCGTCGTCTCTCCGACTAGACGAATCTTAACAATCCCCCCCGTAAACGAAGGTACCTAGGAATGCGGAATTTCGTGGTAGAACTTGACCGGCGCCTCGGCATCAAGACTACCTTGACAGACATCGTACGCCTGCAGACAATTCTCTAACAACAACTCAAGAGGGCTAAATTATGGGCTGGCCAGTTCCCATAACGTCGCATTCCTCAAGCGCCAGAAAGTTAGGATTAGAGTCTACATCGCACGCCGCGTCTGCGAATCCCAATTGAAATTCTTTTGTTTTTTATATAAGTACTTATTTTATGTCGGAAGCGACCGGTGAGATATTAAGGCAATGACGTATCCAAAGGTGTATTACTGGTTGCCAATTAGTTATAAATTTTAAATTTAGTATCTGTTTTTCTTAAAAATACTTATGAAAATATCAAAGAATTTAAAGTAAATTATTTCGCAACAATATCATATAACTTTCTGTATGAAAATTAGTTATAAAATCAAGTTTAATGGGTATTTTTATGATTATTAAAAATAACGACCAATGGCATTATTTTGATAGTTCGATTTTAAATGGAATGTGTTCAAAGAAAAGTGAAAAATACTTTGAATTCGTTATATTTTCCTAATAAATTAGTCTCTCAAGTGTTTTAAACTCACCCAGAATGAAAATCTACACAGCGCAAGGCACTGAAAGTGGAATTAGTGATTTGAAACATGGTGATATTGACCGTTTACGAGCACACTGTTATATTCAAGAATTGAGACCATATTTATAGTTTTTTGAGAAACTATAATAAATAAGCCTATCAGGTATGGAATAAAGGGGTGTCTATTATTGTTTTTTATTTGAAAAGTAAATTTTGTTGTACTTCATATATCTTAGGTCGATGCTTCTACACATCTAATCAAATCAATACAAAAAGGTACAAAAAAAATTAAGGAGTCTTCTATTCAACCAAATGCCAAGAATATTATTTCATCAGCAGAAGGTATTTAAAACATTAGTTAATAGTTATTTTGACCTAAATGAAAATACTTGTCACCATATACATTACTGTTTATATTATTGATTTGTAGGGAAGAAAGTAAATTTTAGCAACAATGGGACTTAATTTTTTAATAGCGGCCAAAAGCAGACCCTGTATCGACTAAATATTACACTCTACACTCCATATTTGTATGATACATAATACCGTATCAACCGTATGTTCGAAAAAAAAACGGCGTCCAGTTGGCTTGGAAATGACGATCGATGACATTCCCCATATAATTTTACATCAACATATAAAATGACAGCGATGTTCATTTCATAGCCATGGCTGACGCCGTTTTTTTTCGATCATACGGTACGTTACATGATACAAAAAAAGAGTTGAAACCGAATATTTTTGACAGGTGAATGTTTCAGCCAATAGAATTACTGGAAATCGATTCAAGGTCGTTACGCCGTTACGCCGATACGCCGTTTTTAGGATAGTGTGGCCAGGGTTCGGAAGTAGTTAACTAAGACGTAATTTACCTGATTAACTACGTGTAGTTTTTCTTCAAAAACTACGTCTTTTCCCGTTCATTAACTACATGAAAACTACGTTAATAAACCATGTATTGATATTATGAATATTTTTCCTTTGTATGAGGTGTAATAGAGATAATATGATGTAAATATTATATTTAAAGCCATATTTCTCCTGTTTTCTTAAATACATTATGTGTTTTTAAAGCTTCAACTTATTATAACCTCACATCAAACCTTTGACATTTGAAAGTTACATACATAGGTTACATAAACTACACCCTCTACATAAACTACATTAACTACATGAGGCTACATGTTATGTAGTTTATGTAGTTTTTAAAAGTAACATGTAGTTTTCCGAACCCTGAGTGTGGCTGCACCCTGACTGCCTTTTCCTGCTTTAACTTTAACCACAGAATATACTACGACCATTACTACATGCATTACTACTTACTACGACTTTAACCAAATATCTAGTCTACGTTGATTACTTGATTAACTACATGTAATCAGATGCAATGTATTTTATGTAGTTTTTAAGAGTAACATCCTTGTATTATCCATAATAAGGAGTGATCAAGGGTAACAAAAGGGGTAACATATACCACAGAACAGGTACAATACTATGGGGTAATGTGTAGTTTTTCGAACCCTGCCTAGTACCCCATTACCCTTCCATTACCCATTACTAATTTATGACGAACTAGTAAAATTCTTTTGTTTGTACCTTTCTGTTTTCGTCATAGTTTTCGTATTCCATGTTCGTATTCTGTGCCTTTCTGCCCATACTTTCTGCGTTTGTTGTTCTGTTTTATGGATGTTTTGACAGGTTTTGATTTTTAGGTTGAATTTCAATTTTCTTGCATTTTTCTTGGTATTAATATTCTTTGATTTCAATGTTTTGGTCTCGAAAAATAGTGGTCAGATCTGTCGTGATCGTATAAAAACTAATTTTCTAGTTACTGGTGGATCTTTTGGTGGCATTAAATATTATTAGTTTCAAAGAATTTTGTGTTCTTATGTTTTAAATAAACAACTTCAACGGTATTGTAAGTTCATAAATTAAACAATTAGGTATGAAAATGTTGTTTTGTAGATGCCCATTTTATTCAGTGTTATTTCAAGAGGAACTACAGTCCTAGCGAAATATGCAAGTTGTGCTGGTAATTTTATAGAAGTTACTGAACAGATAATTGCAAAAATATCCCCACAGGATGATAAGCTTACATATTCACATGGAAGCTACTTATTTCATTATGTTTGTGAGAACAGGATTATATATTTATGTATTACAGATAATGTAGGGAAGTGATATAGGTATACTAACTGAATAATATCTTAAGATATTTTTAGGAGTTTGAGAGAAGTAGGGCATTTTTGTTTCTCAATGAAATAAAAAGAAGGTTTCAATCCCATTACGGCCCCACCGCAGATACTGCTATAGCCTATTCATTAAATACAGACTTCGCCAGGGTTTTGGCTAATGAAATGAAACACTATTCAGAAAGTCATGATGTCGATACTATATCAAAAGTTCATAGTGAACTTGACGAGTTAAAGAACATAATGGTGAAAAATATAGGTAGGTATTTTAGTGTAGTAATAGAGATAATGTTCCCATTTGTAAGGAGGGAATGTTTACAAACACTCAAGAATATAAACGATTTTCAAACTCATTGGTCATAAAAATTTGCCTAACAAAGAAAAAATTTATCGCGATTACTGACGTTTTCTCGTTAATATATATCCTTATAAAAAAATGACACCCTAACGATATCCTTATAATTCCATTTCATATGCTCAGAAACATGTTTAATGATTTTATCTAGTTATCTCTTGAAAAAAAGTCTTTTAAAAATAAGCGGTTTGCGATCGTGATTTTACTTTACTTGATAGAGAAAGGCGTATGGCAACGCCGCAACAGCAAACCGTCGCGTCGGTCTGTCGCATTTCTCTCACTCCGACTTAATAAGATCCCTATGCGATTTACTTCCACACATGTAAATGCCACAACTATTTTTACCAGATTGGAGTATATGTGAAGGAGCTAATTTATTTATATTGCAATCGATTTTAGGACCGGGACCGGCACCGATTTTGCACACGTTCCGACAATTGCATTTAATTCTATTGAATTTGCCGGTCCACGGCAATTTTACCAGATCGGAGTATATGTGAAGGAGCCATTTTATTTATATTGCAGTCGACTTCAGGACCGGCACCGGCACCGATTTTGCCGGTGTGTGTGAAAACGCTCTGATCTCTTCAGTAAAATGGTCGTGGTCCGGCAAATTCAATAGAATTAAATGCAACTGTCGCATGTCGGGACGTGTGCAAAGTCGACGACGGCTTCGGCACCGATTTTGCCGGTGTGTGTGCACGCGCTCTTAGTGTATACTGAGTATACCGGGTGCGTCCCAAAAGTGGCTCACCCCTATATCTTTTATTTTTCAGTTAAAAAAACGAGATTTGGTATGTTCTTTGAATAAGAAGACTAAGGAAGGAGCATAATGCTATCCATGTATTCATGCATGGTGGGCGGAAAAGCCACCATAAAAGCTCTCTAGGGTGGGGATCATTGACAGTTCTGTGTGACGATTCATTTGACACATTTGAATTTGATTTGAAATTTTGTGGATTTGTCAGTCTTTACGGAGCTTATTTTATGTTATTTATTATTTATTCTACTACCGATAGTTGTATAAAGGTAGTAAATCTAGATGGAAATTGTGGCAGAATTTAAATTAACAGTGACACTATCGCGATTTATCGAAAAAGACTCTAAAATAGTTGGTTGTGTAGCGTGCGGTAGATCTCGGCAAAAATTGAGTGAAATAATGGAACAACTTTTCGCTAGTAAGTGACTATATAATATACATACGTGTAGTAAACCGATCATTTATGAAATTCACTTAAATTAACAATTATATATTTTCTTGCATTTAGCTTTTATTTATTACTTGTCAAAGATTAGATGTCAAAGAATTTAGATACGTTCGTACCTGCTTCAGTAGCGTATCGGATGTTTGTGGTAATAAATGCCCAATATAACTTATCTATTTTATTAAATTATATATTTTATAACAATTTTAATAACTACCAACATTTATTCACAACGTAAAATAAAACAACAAATTATTGAGTCTACCCCACGTCTACCCTACATCATAGTTTTAAATTTTTTAAATAAAATTAGAACGACACTGATAAACCGGAATTTAAGTCGGCCATATTTGAGGCCCATCGCGGTGTACCTAAGATTTTTGATATGCTCCTTCCTTAGTCTTCTTATTCAAAGGGTATGTTAGTATATGACATAAATTAGGGATTCATTGACGTATTCAATAGTTTTCGGTCACTTCCTGTTTCACCGGAAATGACTACAACTTTTGATTTTTAAATGACACTTTCGGTATTTTTTCTTTGAATAAGAAGACTAAGGAAGGAGCATATCAAAAATCTTGGTCCACCGCGATGGGACTCAAATATGGCCGACTTAAATTCCGGTTTATCAGTGCCGTTCTAATTTTATTTAAAAAATGTAAAACTATGATGTAGGGTAGACTCAATATTTTTTTTTTATTTTACGTTGTGAATAAAATGTTGGTAGTTATTAAAATTGTTATAAAAACATATTATTATAATAAAAATAGATAAGTTTTAATAATTATTTATTAAAAACATCCGATACGCTACTGAAGCAGGTAAGTCAAATTGACGTATCTAAATTCTTTGACGTCTAATCTTTGACAAGTAGTAAATAAAAGCAAAAATGCAAGAAAAAATATATAATTAGTTAATTTAAGTGAATTTCATAAATGATCGGTTTACTACATGTATGTATATTATAGAGTCACTTGCTAGCGAAAAGTTCCATTATTTCACTCAATTTTTGCCGAGATCTACCGCACGCTACACAACCAACTATTTTAGAGTCCTTTTCGATAAATAGCGATAGTGTCACTATCAGTAGTAGAATAAATAATAAATGACATAAAATAAGCTCCATAAAGACTGACAAATCCACAAAATTTCAAATCAAATTCAAATGTGTATTTTTCCAAGACTCCTTGATTAAAAAACTTGGTGTTTTTAACACAGCTATTACAGTTTAGATTGAAATTTAAAATACGACTTTGTTTTAAGCGAAAATGTCAAAAGTTGATATATGATACGTCATTCTATTCAGAGTGTCAATTTCTATCGAATAAAGTAAAAATATACCGAGGGTGACATTTAAAAATCAAAAGATATAGTCATTTCTGGTGAAACAGGAAGTGACCAAAAACAATTGAATACGTCAATCAATCCTAATTTATGTCATATACTAACAGACCAATTCTCGTTTTTTTTTTATAAAAAAATTATACGGGTGAGCTACTATTGAGACGCACCCGGTATATGTACTATATTATTTAAACTAATCAAATATTTTAGTTTGTTTTTTAAATGCAATATTTTTTTGTCATTGTACTACACATTATGGCTACATTACAACACGTCCGGCTGCTGTCAGTAGGTTTGACAAACCGATGCAGCCAAACAGTGTCTCTTTGTTGCTCACCGATTAAAGCGGAACTTTTTTGCTCTTAAGAGAAGTTAGAACCGGTGGACAGTGGTTCCCAGATAGGTCATTACTTAGAAATATTAATTTCAAAATGTTTGCATGAAACTGTTGCTAATACTTTTCTTATATTCATATATATAATAAATAACAAAATCAAGTAAGCCTAGTGTAGCGCTTTTTTTTATTAGAAATGTCACATTTTTGCTACTGGTATCAAGCTGACATAAACAGTTTTCAGATGACGCCAATTAATTACTTATTTTATTAAAATTGATAAAAGCTGTTGCCTTTTCTGTAATGGACGTTCGAAAAGAAGGTAAAAAGAACTGTTTTTTTTTTCTTTTTTGTACTTAATTAAACCTAAGTAATATTAGTTTATGGCAATTTATTTGAAGGCAACAAAAATAGTATTTTTACATTTTTGCTTGTCACTCTTTAAGACTTTTAACTACTTTCCCTTTCAAACCCTCTTAAACGGCATGATAATACTTGTTGCCTAAAGTATATTGCATATAAATTAATTGCCACTGGCTGCCGCGAATTGCCGCCGGATCTTGTACCGGGTGGTTAAAGATTGACTTTTTGTCTTAAAATAAAAGTAACTTATTTTTTTCTCTTCGTGTCAACTTATTTCGTGGACACACTATATATCAATTAACAATAAAATTGTATTTATAAAATGAAACGACTGTCTCTTTTATTTTTTCAACATTTAAAATAAATTTGACCTCTTCAATATAAAAAAACGTGTACATATGTGCAAACATAATCTGTATACCTTTTCGAATAGTTAGAACTTAAAATGCAAATCACACGAACTGGGCCCAATTTTTTTAATACATATAACATTAAGTTTTTTATATACATTTATTTAGCATTTGTTATCAATTTCTATTAAAAAAGGTGCAGTCAAGCTATATCTAGATATCTAACAGTTATGACCGCGCAGCTAATTAAGGGGAACCACTGTGCGGTGGCGATGTATGTAACGATAAAAAAATCGGATTATCGAATAATGCGATCCGGTTGACATGGTACATAATTTAAGCTTGACGTACATCCGGATTAACTTTCTTTGGATTATCGAGTCTCTACTGTATTTATAACGTAAAGTAACATGTTTATGCCCCGTTCTCAGAACTTCGTAGTGTCGCCAGTGACACACGTCAACGAACCAAACAGATTTGTACAAAATTCAAACAGCTGTCAATTTTAAATTTAGGACAACTCTCACTGGTTCTTTGAAGTGTCAACCAGTGTTGCCAGCGACGTAACGTAGTTCTGAGAACGGCTTTGTTTAACTTTTTAATATGTTTTCAGATAATGTTTCAATGAGAGGTGAACGATTAGAATTACTAGTAAACAAAGCTGAAAATTTAAATAGTGGCGTAAGTAATATGTTTGTATTATCTGAATTGACTTTAATAATTATTTTTTTAGTCAGTATCATTTCGTCATACTAGTCGAAACTTGGCTAGGTCTATGTACTGGAAAAACATAAAACTTTATGTAATTATTGGAGGTGTGATAATTGTTATTGTTTATTTAATTGTTTCTATGTCTTGCGGAGGTTTATTGTGGAAAGGTTGCATAGGGAAATAAATTATATTTTGTTTTTTAAATGAACTATAAAACATTGTTATATATATATAGTAAAATAGGTTATATACAATGAAATAAAAATTAATATTAGAACTGACCCCAAAGTGAAAATGCTGTGAACATAATAATTTCAATTATCTAAACCTAATTATTATTTTATATTTAAAACTTGATATTTTCATTAAGATAACTGTGTATGTGTAAAGGTATAAATTTAACATTGTAATACCACATGATTAAAAACCCACGACTTCTAGTTGGCTTGGAAATTATTTTAAATGATATCGATCTTTATTTCCAAGTCAACTTTTAATTATTTTTTTCAATTATATGGTATTTTACAATTTGGCTAGATTTTTCTACATTATTTTTCCTTAGATTAGGTTTATTTCTTTATGCGCTAGGATTACGAAAATATATATTAATGGACTCGTTTATTTGCGCTAAGTTTTTAAATGGATATAGAAAACTAAATAGTAAAAAGAATCTTAAATTTACTTTTTGTATTATATCTGTTTAGATTTAGAAGTAATCGAATAAAAATAATTGTAATACTTTAAGAATACTATTATTTTGCACATTATTTAATTAAATACAACGCCTTAAAACTTAAGGCCTTTAAGTTAAAATCATGCAAGTTTTATATATTATTAACATAGGGTTATGACATTTCTATACAGGGTGATTCCTGTAAGTCGGTCATGCTTTCGGGGAATGATGGGCGACGTCGAAATATTAATTTTGGTATAGCACACTATGGGTCGGAAATGCCTCTTACGCAAGGTACAGGGTGTTAAAGTTTTTGAAAAATTAAAGATATTCTTTAATAGTTTTTTAACAGTTGAAGGTATCGTTATAAAATTTTATTATAGGAGTCTACCTAACAGAGACACTTTAAATGTAAAGAGAAGAGGTTTTAGTTTCAACCAGTGGCGTAGCTGTGATACGCATCGGGAAATATTTCAAAAAAAATAGTACGCCACTGATAATGATAATAAAATTTCGGAGTTTTTTTATTTACTCGGTTTATTTCCAAGAAAAAATGTCTCTTGCAACTTTCTTCTATCTAACACCATTTTGTCACAATTTAGAAATAAATATTTTTTTTAATGAGAACCTTAAATATGCGAATTATTATAACTACTTTAAAACTAAGAATTTTATTATTAACAATAAAAAAAAATTCTAGTTTAAATTTATAATTTTTTAAAAAATTATTTAGAGCTAATAGTAAAAAGTACAGTGGAGAAAGTTGCAAGAGACATTTTTTCTTGGAAATAAACAGAGTAAATAAAAAAAATCTTTAAATTTTTTTATTTTTATCAGTGGCGTACTATTTTTTTTGGAAAAATTACCCGATGCGTATCACATCTACGCCACTGGTTGAAACTAAAACCTCTTCTTTTTACATTTAAAGTGTCTCTGTTAGGTAGACTCCTATAATGAAATTTTATAACGATACCTTCAACTGTTAAAAAGCTATTGAAGAATATTTTTAATTTTTCTAAAACTTTAACACCCTGTATCTTGCGTAAGAGGCATTTCCGACCCATAGTGTGCTATATCAAAATTCATATTTCGACGTCCCCTATCATTCCCCGAAAGCATGTCCGACTTACAGGAATCACCCTGTATATGAAATCTTTATACAGAGGAAATCGATGGTGTGAATTCCTTATGTATGTAATATATGTACAAAAAGTTTAAAAATCTATTTTTTTGACGAAATCGGTGGAGTGTTTGATTCCTTATGTATCCAACGATGAAAATGCCCTAATGGATAATGGATAACGTCATGAAAAGACAAAAAGTGTGTAGATACATATCTTCTATGTCAAAAGTTGTAGTAATTTTTTGTATACTAACTTTATTCTTAATCTAAGATACTAACATTCCAAATTTCGTCTTTTTATCTGAAAAAATAAAAAAATTATAGGGGGTGAACCACTTTTGAGACGCTTCCTGTATATAAAAGTTGTAGAATTTTACACAGAATCTGAAAATACAATAAAAAATACGGTGTTACATTAAAAAAACACGTTATATCCGCTACGCTTTCCGGAAAACCCCCAAAAATTTAAAATTTGTATCTTATGGCTAATCCCTAAAACTTTTCTATTTAATATTTTATCAGTTTATAAGTCCACACCAATGTAGGGAAGATCAGTGTATCGATCTTCAACAATTCCATTGGCTGAATTTTTTCACGTATGCATTTTTGCGTATTCAGGGCCATTTCAAAAGTTAACTTTAACTTTAGGCGTAATGGCACAAATTGACATTACTCTCTCGTGTGTTTATATTTTGGTTTTAATCATTTTGATGTATTTTTTTATGTTTTTTTTCTTATTTAAGGGTGTATTCCGTTGCTTACCTTGGTTATGGTTTTATGTTCCGTTTCTATCGGTGTCCTGGAAGTTTTCTTAGTACGGAACACGGTTCCTGAAAAATTCGGTTATAACTGTCACCAAACTAACCAGCGCGAGCAGACTGGTTTTTCTGGTTTTGTTTGTCAATCAATGTCATTTATGTGACAGAAACCAAGCAAATATTGGAAGTTCGAGTGAAATTCTCATTTAATTTCTAAAATTTGTTGTAATATTTTGTATTTACCTCCAAAAGCAATGGAGGTAGGCAGTAAAGGTAAATAAATTTCATTAACCAAATATTCATTTTTTTTTCAGGAACCGCTCTTTACCGTAATTTACCGGTGGTTCACCTGGTTTTGCAACGGAATACAGCCGTGAATACAATAATAGTGAAATTCGAAAAAGCAAATGTGTTTAAGATTTCCCAAAAAAAGATAAATGATAAGTTAAATCATCTCTGCCATGAATGGCGTTGCTATGGGTGTGTTTAGTTGCATTCATTTGTTTCAACGAAACGTCAAAGTTGTTAGTTCTCACAGATAAGAGGTAAATGGCTAAATTTTATGTTTAAAATTATAAATTGTTGTTGTTCTTGTGCTCTTTTTACGTTGATATTATTGTTTTGATTGAAAATGGCTCAGCAAGCTGCAGGTATGTATTCTACAAAAACGTATTATTTATTTTGATATTCTCTATACTAACGATTTTTTTGCAACTAAAAGTTAGGCGTTCAGAAAATTTGACATTTTTATTATACTTGAAGATTTAGTTGCGCATTTCGAAGAATTCAGCATATTGTCTATATACGTTTTACTTAGTAAACATTGGGCTTTCATACAGTAAAATAAAATACTGCGACTTTTTGCGATTTTGCTGATAAAATGAGAAAAACATTCTTGGTTTCCTCTAATTTGCCAATCAGTGATATACTAATGCGAGGTGTAAACCGCGATGGCATTGTTGTGTACAAAGCGATCGCATTAGTGCCATTAGCAGTATAGCACAATTTGGCATTAGTAGCGACTTTAGTGGTATGGGCATTGCTCGCGGATCAGTCGTGGCATTAGTAGTAGTAGTTGCGATATTACTACTGGCACTGACCGTGGAAACACTGGAACAGTGATTTTTCTTTCTTTTTTTAGAATCGACGAATTATCCTTTATTTTGTTCATATTATTTCCTCTTTAACTGAAAATAGCAATAATTTATATAAGGTCTACATAAAAAAATTTCGATCAAGTATCAGTGTCAAATACCCCACTGTGCGATGGTGTGTACAGCCTTACTCGTGAAAAGAACAAGGAAACCATATTTGGAACAATATATTTCTTGACCTTTTCTTATTTTAAACATAAAATATATAAAATTAAGTCATATATAAAAAAAGGTCCGTTTCTAGGAATTGGCTTTTTACCATGGAAGGTAAATTTTGAATTGAACTTTATCAAAACGAGTAGAATAATACAAGTAAGGAGATATTTATTTTAAATAGTGAAAAATATATAGATAACAATAATTAAAAAAGACTTAATCTGAGTCTTCGGGGAAAATCACCCCAACTTCTTTTCTTAATATATCCATCCATCCTGAAAGTTGCAAGGTCTCTTCATGTGTAATCTGGTCGCTTTCTATTTTACCTTGAATTATTTGTTTTCGAACTTCTGCGGCTTCGTAAGCAAGCCCCGCCGAGTTAGTATAATTGAACGTTCCAGTATTCTCGATTAAAGGGATTTCTTTAATTTTGCCATTAATAGAGTAAGTAGTAGGGCACCAGAATGTTGGAATTCGAATAGTTCCTTTGGTACCGATAATAACAGCTGAAACAAAATAGTATTTCATGAGGTAATCAATTCGGATATAGGTATAGCCAAGGTTTAGCATATACATTTGTTTAGCGATATTTCAAAGGTACGTCATATTATCCTATTCTCTCTTTGACTTGACACAGATCAATGGCTGCATTCAGCTGAAGGAATCTGATTGGTACCTAATCGGTAATTTAAGATTCGTCGTCTAGTGATTTGTAATTTTTCTGAATGCCTTCTTTAAATTCTACGATTAACAGGAGAGGGCGCTAGTTTTTATTTACTTTTTGATATGATTTTTGACTTTTATATTACTTCATTTATTTAAATCTTTTTCATTTATGCTGTTTGTTTTTAATAAATAATATTTATTTTTTTACTTTAATTTTTATACTAATAATTTTGTTTACAAATTTATAAATAACTATGAAATAAATAATAACCAATGCATCAACAGCATTCTCTTCTGTAAATAAACTTGCATGCCATTCAGATATTGTCATATACTTAACACTTTTTATATAAGCAAATCGGCAATCGTTAATCCCAAATCGCTCTTTGGAAACGACTGCAAAAATGGCCTCCGATTAGCAATGGCTGATTAGTCATCGGAAATTTTCAGGTGCATTCAGTACATGATCAGTAATAGATTACTAAATGATTACTAACCGAGGACGTCTACCGAATGCATTCAATCAGTGTCAGAATAAAAATCGATTGCGCTGTAAAATTCGATTTTTCTATTACTAAAAAATCTTCAAGCGAAGGTTCTGCCTAAAATTATAAATTAAAATAGAAATCAGAAGATTTATGGTAAATGAATGAACCTAAGGTTACGTCTAGACATAACGTGTTACCTAACTGACGGTAGATTTCTAGACGGTGTTCCGACTCAATTCAGTTCAAATAAACCGTCCGTTTTTTTCGTTTAAACACAATGTTTTACTTGATACGTTTATGTTTAGACAGGGCTACATACAATATTCCTACTTGAGATTAAATTCAAAAGGATCTTTTCATTTTAAAATGCATATGTGGAGTTCTACCTCGAAAAGCAGCTACAATAATTTTTCCCATGTTGTCAACAATAGTTGGAGTTTTGTAACATTGTCTTTAACATATCCCCATAAAAAACAACTAGATAAAATCAGGAGCAAAAATAAAATAATAGAATCATTCAATTCTCTTTGATGTAAGATAAGTTTGCATTTTCGGCAAATTTCTGAGAATTTTTTTTTATTTTAACTGACACAAAATTATAACTAGTTGTTAAAGTTAGACTAATTAGACAGCTATGTTGAAGTAACGTCAGACATATTATCACAGCCACCTAAAGTTTATCAAATAATAAAGATCTACTCAGATCAAATCATGTAAATGAAAATATATAGGAAAATCTTTGTTTTAGGGGTAGGCAACCTTAACAGTATTCTGAAGAGACATTAATTCTTCATTCAATATCGGAATAATATACTGGGTGTTCCATTTAAAATAAAAGAGTACCGAACATGCTTTTAAAGGTGACCAATGTTCAATATTAATTTTGTCCCACCCTGTATAACTTTTTGGATCAAGTTTTAATTTGATATAAAGTGCAATAGTTAATTTAACTACGTATTAGGCTATACCAGGTAAATTCCAATTTAGGTAACTTTTATTGTAATTTAAAAATTGTTCTTTATTTCTAGAAAATGTTAAATATGTCAAAAACCTTACATTTTAGTCATATACTGTTCTTATAAAACTCATCTTTGTTTTTCTTCCAGAAGCCAAAAATCAATTAATATATAGGGTGTTCCATTACAAAAAGCACAACTTTGATATATAACTTTTTTGGGAGACACCCTGTAGAACTCTTTATATTTTTAAAAAGTGCTCTGAATTAACCTACATATGCTCACAAAATTTTATCTCAATACAAACTGTCGTTCTCCTTGGAGCCTCCCTGTATGTAAAATTAGACGGCGAATGTCATTTATCACCATCTCCAATTGCTGTCCTCCTTTCACGCAGTTGAGCAGCTCTGAACTGTTCAAGAACGCGATACTCTCACTCCGCTTCTTTCAGAACCGTTCTCGAGTAGCCCCAGGGCGTAAAGCCCGGAACTCGAAGTTCGCGAATGAACGACAGCAAATGAGGTTATATTGTGATGCTCTGTTAATGTCATTGGTCATTTCCAAGCCAAATTTAAGCCGTTATTTCGATCGTACAGTATATCTATGAATTTAAATCAATTTTAGGCAAGAACCTTATTATTAAATTCTAACCTTCATTAGTCATTTGCGCAGTAGCATTGCAGGTTACCACTGCAGTCTTTCCATTGGGATATGTGAATATAGCAGATGCGGATTCATCTACACCTTCTTTGGTAATATGACCTGCCGCTACAACCTTAACTGGCTTTAGTTCTCTGTAAATAAATTGTTGGAATTGTAAAATATAAATTCCCAAATCTAAAATCGCTCCACCTCCAAGTTGTTTATCTTTGATACGATCAACATTCTCTAAGGGAAAGCCGAAGTCAATTTGAGCATGTTTTATCTACAAAACATATAATAAAAAATGTACCCTAAAATTAGCGATTTTTTCAAAATAACTTACCTCTCCAATTGCACCTTCATCAAGTAATTTTCTAACTTCACGATAAACTGGAAAAGTTCTAGACCATATAGCTTCCATAATAAACAAATTTTTGCTTTTTGCTAAATCAATCATTTTTTTTGCTTGTTTTTGATTAATGGCAAATGGTTTTTCACAGAGAACGTGTTTTCCATTGTTAAGCATTAATATTGTAACTTCATAATGTTGTGGATTTAGTACGCCGATGTAAACAACTTGTACATCCGGATCCTTTGCCAGTTTTTCATAACCTTCATAGTATTTAGGAATGTTATGGTTATTTGCGAAATTTGTTGCACTATAAATGTGTAGATAAGAGTAAATTAAAATTGTAATAGTTTAAAATAACAATTAAACATTTACCTGTTAAGAGATCGGGCTGCCACAGCCACAACTTGATGTTCCTCCACAGGAAGACCTTTAACTGCTGTTACAAAATCATGAGCGATTTTACCAGATGAGGCAATTCCCCAACGAAGTGCCATTTTGTAAATTAGAACAGGAATATAAGGTTCCGATTTATAAATATGCCGCTGAAATGTTTTCAATTAAAATGTAGATTAGATAAATAAATATATATATATGAAACAAACATAAGTTAAATATTAAAGATCGAGCTATTTTTAACCTTTCAAATGCGAAAGTCATGTATTTACATATACTCTTATATGTATTTGTGTATTTATTACTTTATCAGTTTGTTGTTTTGTCTAAATATCGTGAGTGAATTCTCAATCTAAGGGTACATTACGATTAAAACGATTACAAACGACTGTGGAGACTAAAGTAAACTGAAACATCTAATCGAGACGATGCGCGACGCTGTACAAAATAAATTTTCCATAGCGTTGTCTCGTGTCTTCGAAGCAGGCGAAAGTACCTTTGAAAATAACAACAGTATGCATATTTAACATTTAAAGACCGTATGTTTATACCTTGACTGCTTGTAATTCCTCTTTTCTAATGGATATTTCATTATTTTTATTTCAGAAATTTTTACTGGAGGCCCATCTTTACAGTGTTTACCAATAATAATAAATTAAAATAATATAAGTAGTTATTACAGTTGAGTATTGGAAACTTTGATGTTATAACAGCAAAAAAAACACTAATTCACTACAATACACCTAAACATGTTACTTTTGCACTGGACGCGCGTTTCGCTAACCATGTTAGCATCATCAGCAGACGATTAAAACGTTTAACCTAACCTAAAGTTTTTAATCTAGTTTATATAGTTTTAATCTTAGTCAGTTTTTAATCATCTGCTGATGATGCTAACATGGTTAGCAAAACGCGCATCCAGTGTAAAAGTCTCTAAATCTATTGTTTTTTGCGTCTTGTCCTGGCAAGTTAAAAGATGCCCAAATCATATTTTGAATCATATCTCAAATTTTATCAAATGGATTCGAGGGTGGCTCACAATTTTAGCAGTGCCATCTATCGCTATCACAAATCAAAATAATTAATTTTTATGTTTTCCCAATGGCACGACTGCAATTTGTCTATATTTTTATGTGAAATACAAGTTGTAATTCTTACTGCGCCTGCAGCAAGAATTTCACAAAATATAGACAAATTGCAGTCGTTTCATTGTAAAAACATAAAAAAAATAATTATTTTGAGTTGTGATAGTCTTCTTCCAAACCGACGAAATTTTAACTGTTGATACTAGATAATTTGTTTCATGAGTAAATTTAATCCCGCATATGTGTTTTGTGATTTATTCAATCATCTCTTCCAATTTATTTTACACAAAGAACTTCCTAGAAATAATTGATAATATTTACATGCGAAACAAATTATTTACTAAATAACCGCTTAAAGAGATACGTATAATTGCAATGTTTTAAACAATAAACATGCGTTAACAATCACCTATATTTTTCTACAATACAATGAAAATAGTGTCTGATTTAAGTTGATAAAATAAGTATTAATAACATGTAAATTGATTAAAAGTAGATGTACAAGGAAAATAAAACAAAGAAAGCATTTACCATCAAAGACAATTTATTTTGCTCCTCAAAAAATTTCAAAATTAATATTTAATTTTTCTCTCTAACCTTTTTTTATACGAATCAAAACAGATTTATTCATTGTTATTGGCAATTAAAAAATAGTGATACCTACATCGAATGAAGTTTAGATTATAATACACTTACATTAAACGAATAGTTTACCAATTTCACTAAAAATACACACAACAAAAATATTTTGAAATACGTAATTTAAGAGCATTAACTATCATACACTCACTTCGAACTAAATAATCACACTGGCAGGGCAGAATTAGCACGTGTATAATACAATACACGGTGAATTGGCACTATTAGGACGAGAAGGGAGGTGGGCGGAAATTTTTTTTCTCCCTCTTACTCTCGTATTTTATGAGCGACAGTTGCGCCCTCCAGTAATGGTGGCCGTCAATTCTTGTTCCAAATCCTGCCATTTAAGTTTAGCTGTACTTAAACTGCCGTTAAACGGTAGCTTATTAAAATGCAGTAAATAGGTATGACGTCGTTGATGTGACGCACTTGACGGCTTTATGAAATATAGGAATTTAATAAGGACTAACCAACGCTATCCACCCCACCAAATAACCAACTTAACCAACGCAACTAACCTCGACACTGATAAAAAAATATAAAAAACAAATATAAATTAGTAAAAACCAACCAACCCCACCAAATAACCAACTAACCAATGAATTAACACCCTCCAAATAACCACGCTAACCAACCCGCCAAATAACTAAACCAATCCAACCAAAAAGAGTGAAACCAATGCAATAAGATCACGCTATAAGCAAAAAAAAATATAAAAAAAGTCTTGGTCGGCGTGAGATTTGAACCACGGACCATCCGCTCACGAAGCGATAGCCTCAGCTACGGAGCCACAGGTGCTCTTGCAAAATGCTGATAGCTGATAGCTAGGCATTACTTTCCGCCGACATGAACGACGTCACAATATCTATTAACGGCATTTTAGTAAGCTACCGCTAGAGTCTTTTTAAACTCATGAGCTGTGAATGTCAAGAAGTTGCAAATGCCATAGTAAAGTGTAGACTAAAATCAGAGAACTACGCTTGCAGAGACATCGTTTATATTTCATTTACTTGAAACAGGCAAGTTTTATAAAAAAATAGGAGTCGTATATTAAGCATGCAACGTATGCAATGTCATGTCTTTAATTCCAGCTTAACTTATTAGACTTGGAGATCCTAAAGAAGAAAATCCGGTCTCGTTTCATTCAAGCCGTTTTACTAAATTACTACACGGCCCCAACAAACGTACACACAGCAGGCCAAAACGGCTGCTACATACGGAGCTTTAGAGCCAAAGCCAACAACTGCGATGGGTGATTCCACCAGTCTGTGTTCGCTCAATGTCGAGAGCTCACGTCTCAAAATGTTCTAAAACGATCGTCGTCATGTCGTTCATAATGTAGCTGCTATTAAAAAAATAACTATAAACAGTAAACCGTCTCATTCCTAAAAAAAAACGTATAGTACAAAATATTATAACCACTCAATAAAGAAGCGAACATGTGATAAATATTGAATTTATTTCGGGCTTTTCTTTGGGCGCATTATTTTTCGAGATGCAGGATAGTTCGCCCGATTTGTCGTTGAAACTGCGGAGGGGTTCCAGTGACTCGAGAGATTCCTTCTATATGGATTTCGATAGGGGAATTGATTCGGACATCGAGGAAATGGCCACTACTTCTGGGGCGGATTTTGGCGGAGACACGACTGGAGAAATTACCGTTACTCACAGCGCAACCGGAATGAAAACCGAGGGTGCTAGGTGGGTGTATATTTACATTTTTTCTATAATCGGCTGTCGTAAGGATGTCTCCTTTGTGTATTTGCGTTATACAATACGAAAGGGCGTCGTGTAACTTTTATGAAGTGGTATGGGGCTTCAGGATTTAGAAATATGAATATGTATATCAACTTTCAGGCGATACGTGATGTCTACAAGAAAATTCCTATCAGAATAATAATAAATAGATAATGTAATATTATAAATATAGTATACCGGGTGGTGCAGCAAACAAAAAATCCCATGCAAATTTTGAACTGTTTAAATATTGGCTCCCTATTAATTTTACAGCAAAGTCGTAAATAGTTTTTTTAAAGGTCTGTCTCTGCTGAATACACCTGCCAAATTTGAACAATTTTGGACAAGCCGATTCTAAGTAATTTAGGAAAAACTGCATCTATTTTTAAATTGAAACTTTGCAAAACCAGGCAAAAACAATGGAAAACCAGGCAAATGGCAACATACCTTAAGTTATCAACCTATGATTTTGTTAATGTCCAATTAATTGTATTGTCCAATTAATTGTTTTTAAAAAATCTCTATATCTATGTGGCGGATTCATCTATCCAAAAAAATCCTTATGGGTTTTTCGCCACTGCACTGCAAGACAAATCTACAAAATAAAATAGTTATTTTTTGTAAACACTTCTGCGTTAAACCTAAACGAACGCTGCTTGTCAGAAGTTGTGTTTACAGTAATAAAAATTTGCCTAACAAAAAAAAAATGCTTAACGTTTCGGAAAGTTTTCTCTTTCCGTCGTCGGAAGCAAAAAAATATAAAGAATCAAGAAAAAAACTATTTAAAATATTTTAATTGAACTATTCGAGAACACTTTACTTTTTAAAACAGATACGTCTACAAGAAATCGTTGACGTTCTGTTAAAATGACATTATATTAAGTTAAACTTCAAAATTAACAATTACTACCTGATAATAACTTAATAAGGTAAAACCAAAAAGCCCAAACTTTCTGTATGATTATTTTTAAATTTCACGTATGTTATGTTTATTTATGTAATGTTCTTTAAAATCAAAGAAGCGATTGCCATACATTACTAACATCTACAGATGCATGAGCAATACATTTATTTTTATTAGATTGAATTAAAAAAGCCTCTTTTATTTTTCTTTTAGAGGCTATCGCTTCTTTCATTATAATTTTGGCGTTATTAAAATTTATTCTGTGCCCTGTGTCCCATGAATGCTGACAAATCTTAGATTTGTGAAAATCTCCCTTTCTTAAATAATCTTTATGTTGAATACAGAACAACAAACAAAAAATGTAATATACCAAATACCCTGCGAATGCGATAAATTTTACATTGGTGAAACATCTAGACCCTTAAATGTTAGAATTAAAGAACATAAAGATTATTTAAGAAAGGGAGATTTTTAGAAATCTAAGATTTGTCAGCATTCATGGGACACAGGGCACAGAATAAATTTTAATAACGCCAAAATTATAATGAAAGAAGCGATAGCCTCTAAAAGAAAAATAAAAGAGGCTTTTTTAATTCAATCTAATAAAAATAAATGTATTGCTCATGCATCTGTAGATGTTAGTAATGTATGGCAATCGCTTCTTTGATTTTAAAGAACATTACATAAATAAACATAACATACGTGAAATTTAAAAATAATCATACAGAAAGTTTGGGCTTTTTGGTTTTACCTTATTAAGTTATTATCAGGTAGTAATTGTTAATTTTGAAGTTTAACTTAATATAATGTCATTTTAACAGAACGTCAACGATTTCTTGTAGACGTATCTGTTTTAAAAAGTAAAGTGTTCTCGAATAGTTCAATTTAAACATTTTAAATAGTTTTTTTCTTGATTCTTTATATTTTCTTGCTTCCGACGACGGAAAGAGAGAACTTTCCGAAACGTTAAGCATTTTTTTCTTTGTTAGGCAAATTTTTATTACTGTAAACACAACTTCTGACAAGCAGCGTCCGTTTAGGTTTAACGCCCAGAAGTGTTTACAAAAAATAACTATTTTATTTTGTAGATTTTTCTTGCAGTGCAGTGGCGAAAAACCCATAAGGATTTTTTTTTGGATAATTGTTTTTAATTTTACTTGTTCAGTTTTAATTTAAAAATAGATGTATAGTTTCTTGAATTACTTCAAATCAGCTTGTCCAAAATTGTTCAAATTCAGCATGTGTATTTAGCATACGCAGATCTTTAAAAAACATACATATGCACCTATATGTAATAATACGACTTAGCTGTAGAATTAATAGGGGATGAGCCAATATTTGGACAGTTCAAAATTTGCAAGGGATTTCCTATGAATGTGGATATACTGATTGATATGTGTGTTGATTAATAAATTGTTCTAAATAAATGTCCATTTAGATTAGAAATCAAGACTATTAATAAAAGTTATGTGTGTAAGCTTGTCCATTGATATTAAATAAACATTTTTCTACAGTATGTCCCCGGATTGTTTACAAGAGATACAATGATATAAATTGTATAATAATAATAAATGTCTTTATTCCCAAATAAAAATAGAACTATTACAAAAAAAATATTACAACATAAACAAATATCACGCTGATAAAAAAAACTTAAACACTATAACCAAAAAAAATCCAAACAAAAGAGCCAGTCACTTCTAAATGAGAAGGAGCGACATTCAGAGCCCCCTCCATTTAACTCCTAATAAGTATAATAAAAAGTATGGAACTGATACGGAATGGTATTAGCGTCAATATAATAAAAATACGGAACGGATATGGAATAGATATGGAATGGAAACTGAAGGTATAGTGAGAATCAACCTTTATTCTACCAATTGCGAATTTCTCTAATATCTCGAAATTACGTATAGCGTCAATACAATAAAAATACGGAACGAATATGGAATAGAAACTGAAGGTAGAATCAACCTTTATTCTACCAATTGCGAATTTCTCAATGAAGCTCGCGTCCTAAAAATTAAAAGGCGTTTCTATGGTAATTTATTTTCGATTTCATTCTGTGATAGATGGTTATAATTAATTTTGATTAAAGTCATATTTTTTGATGTTGTTAAAGTATAAAACTTTCCGATATCTATTCACCCTTTCCGCAGCATTGAACTAAATAAATTTTGAGCTTCTTTAACATTTTAAAGTAGCAAAAATATTACTGTAATTAAAATTCTGTCAATAATAATCTATTAAGGAATGTACACGAAATTATATTACCATAGAAACGTTGTGACTTTAGGAAAAAAATTAACTTCATGTTCTTGTTTTTTTAACCATTACCATTTTAGAACAAGCAAAATTTTTTATGAAGAATACATTTTTCTCAAAATGCCAATAATAAAAAAAATGTCACACTCAGGTGCAAGTTTTGGACTTTTTAATGAATTTTTCGTAAAGGCACTTTCTACATAAGAAATCTTTAAATAAATAGTATTTTAATTTTTAATGCAAATGTAATTTTTTAGAGAAAGAAACAATATTTGTCCGTGAAATTTTTCTTTTTCGATATACAGAGTGGTCCGAATTTTAATCGAGAAACTTCTGAAATGTATGCTGCAGATAAAAATAAGTAAAAAAGTTCGTATAAATTTATGACTTAAAATGTCTGGTTTAGGGTATACAGGGTGTAAAAGTTTCTTTTTTAATTCAGTTTTTTTCAATGCCAATTCATTGTAGGTGTTCGTATAAATTTATGACTTAAAATGTTTGGTTTAGGGTATACAGGGTGTAAAAGTTTCTTTTTTAATTCAATAAAGTTTTTTTCAGTGCCAATTCATTGTAGGTCTCTGGACAATTTTAATTAATCAAAATATTAAAATACTTAAGTGATAACAAGTTAAAATTTGTAGCATTGCTGCCTAGATAAAGTCAGAAATCTATTAAAATTTTTCATATCATGTATCTTAAAATTATGCATTTCCGGATGGAAACTTTTCTTCATTTTTTTTATGGGAAATTTTGTGAATTATCTTTTGTCAGTGAAAAATGGCTGTGGCTTCTTTGATCTGGGTGTATGATGTATCTTTTGGTTCTGTATTTGACAAAGCAAAGTATAAAACTTTGCTATATAAAAATAAAATGACTATTATTATTATTGTGGGAATGAATCGCGCGCCAACCGCAAAGTACCTTCGTTTAATTTCGTTTCGCCCCTATCCTAGCCGTATCAGACGACATCCGCATCGGCTGTTCGCAATTTATGATAGACATTAATAAATAAGTTTATTTCCACTCGCGTCGTCGCACTCTCTGAGGCACTAAATGTGTTTATGTCTTTGTTCTCTGGAACCGATCAGATAAATTTAATTTAAGAGTATTGAAATAATTGAGTTTTAATAGTTTTTTTACATTTCTTCTGGTATAAAATGATTTTTTTACGATCGCACTCTCTTTTCCAGCTGGCCGACGATTCCTCCTCAAAATATAAGCGGCGGCAGTCGCAGTAGCGCAGCATTGGGGTTTCGGGATCCTCTTTTGCCGTCTCCTGCCTCTACCAGTGCCATCATAGTATCACCGGAAACGCTAAGTCATTCATCTCCATCCAAATCTACTGCCAAAAAAATGACGGGGCACGCTGTACAAATTCAAACGCATAAGTGAGTACTAACTTTACATTTAATATTTACTCATAGCTAGGGACGCAAAAAGTAACACCAATGTATAAAAATATCCCTTAGAAAACAATTAAAATAAACATCAACTGTATGAAATAATGTAAAACATAAATTGTTAATTTTTTACACACTTAGTAATTCATAATTATAGACTTTCAACAAGGAAAAAAATCAATAAAATTATTTTAATGAAATAATTAGATTTTGTACGTGGGGAAAGTACAGATAATGGAAGATTTTTAAATTCTCTTTTATTTAGGGACAATTTCCAATTTCCGGTAGTGCACGTTAATAATAGACACAATTTCCATTGTTATTCTGATTACAAAACACGTCTATTTAATTAACAATATGAGCTGATTAGTTATAAGCAGGGGTTGAAAATTACTTTTATCATATATGTACATGTACCCCATATATATGATAAAAGTAATATACTATATAGTATATACCCATTCATCGAGAAGAAACCTGCAATGAACCAGGAAGTTCATATAACATTCATCGATCTACAAAAAGCATATGATACAGTGCCAATAATAAAATTATGGGGAAGTATTGCACGAATCAAGAACTAACGCAGCTCTGATAAAAGCTGTACAAAATCTTTACCATGGAGGAAAATCACAAATAAAAACGGTCAACGGTCTCTCAGAGAAAATTTCTATCACTAAAGGGCTCCGACAGGGTTGCTGTATATCTCCAACACTATTTAAAATTTACATTGCCAAGGCCTTACATCTATGGAAAAGAAAATGTAACGGAATGGGTATAGAACTGAATGACATATGCCTATACACCTTGCAATTTGCAGACGACCAGGCCATAATTGCAAACGACAAAGATGACATGGAATATATGGTGCGGAAAATAATTGAAGAATATGCTAAATGGGGTCTCACAGTAAATACAGAAAAAACAAAATACCTTCCATTTGGAGCTAATACAGAAAATCTTATTTTAGACAATAATATGGAAATTAGGGCATGTGAAGATTACAGGTACCTAGGATCGATATTTACAGGAGATGGAACGGACGATAGAGAAATAAACAACAGAGTAATACAGGCACGAAGAGTTATCAGATGCATAAATGGCATTCTATGGAGCACTGAAATTACAAAAAAACAGGAAATAATATATACGGGACACTAGTTAAAAGCATATTACTCTATGGATGTGAAACATGGCGACTCACTGAAAGGAATAAAAGGAAATTAGAGACAACAGAAATGGACGCGATTAGAAGAGCAATGAGAATTTCAAGGAGGGATAAGATCAGAAATGAAGACATTAGACAACAGATGGGAATAGAGAGAGCAATAGTAAATGATATAGAACAAAAATAATTAATATGGTACGGCCACGTTCAGAGAATGCACAATGAAAGAATTCCAAAACAAGTCATTCATTAGATACCACCTGGTAAACGAAAGAGAGGACGTCCCAAGAAAACATGGATGGTAGGAATAAGAAGGTCGATGAGCGAGAAAAATCTGACCGAAGATCAATGGGAAAATCGCACAGGGTGGAAGTTAGGCATCGGACAACGTCGTAGGACGTTCTGACCCGCCGAATTTATATATATATATATATATATATATATATATATATATATATATATATATATATATATATATATATATATATATATATATATATATATATATATATATATATACATGTACATACATATTGTTATGTCATAATCCTAATTTAAAATTTTAATAAGTATGTGTTTCCTTTTCCATAGAACAGTTTCAACGGCCCCTTTAGCAATTCCTGGATACTATTATCATCAACATCAATTACCCGTGATGAGAAGACTTAGTAGAGCGGAGAAACAAATAGAATGGAGACAATTAGGGGCGTAAGTATAGTGTCAACCAAAAAAAAAGGTCAACTTTGGGAAAATCCGGACATTTTTCGAATTTAAAAATAATTTCCGGCGATTTCTCTTGGTCGATTTACTTATTAGAATTTTTTTCCCAAAGTTATACGATAAGTAGTTTCTGAGATACAGCCGGCGTCCATTCTTAGTTGGTCACCCGGTACAGTTTTAACATATCAGTTTCTAATTTTATAGGGATGCTTTAGCAACTACGTTGTCAGCTCTGTATGGAAAATTGCTTGTTGTTATGGGCACCGCCTTCCCCATGGCAGAAGTAATTTCCACTTACATTCCACCATCGTTTTACGAAGCCTACTACCTGTATCTGTATATCGGAAGTATGTTTTTTCTTCTTTATATGTATACTGTGCTTTTACGAGACAAAAGGAATATTAAGAAGAAAAACAGAGAAAACGCTTGTGTAGGTAAGTTATCAAAAATTAATGACTTTATTTAAAAAAAGATATTAAACATAATAATTCATTTTATAATTATTCTTATTTTACCATAAGACACATTTTTTCTCCGGATTCATTGGACAATCCTTTGGACAGTCGTAGGCTTTGGCAAAATCTTCGGAATTACTTAACACTCCAATTATTCGAAATATTCCTGGGGAATGAACTGATATTTTCAAACGATTTTTTGCTTCTTGGATTCGTTGCAATCCGCACCAAACTTGTGCGAAGTTTAAGAAAAACAGTTGATTGTTTGTTAAGTTCATGTCTATAAAAATATACTTTACATTATGCACTAAATTGTTATTTTAGAATTATTACTGGGCAATGTTTCATCCTCTGTGGGATTTGCTTTTATCCATGCTTGATAAGCCCGGAAAGACTGTTTTAATCCACCGTTATCTGCGATATTTTCGCCTTGTGTCATATATCCATCTAAGGCCACTTTAATCTCTGGTAACATATATTGGCTTAAAAACAACAGTTAGTAATTATTGGAAAAACTGGAAATCGTCCGATTTTCACCGAAATTGGTATACGCCCTATTTTGAGGTCGTAGATTACGAATCTTTTTTTCTGGCAGTCTCTTACCGTTTTTCAGTAAAACGAATAATTATTTCAGCATCGAATTTTTCTTAATTTCTCATATTTTTAAGGTTTTTAGCACATATTTTGTTAGGTATTCAATAAAAAATGATGTTTTTGCTATTTTCTGTTACTTTTTTAACTAATTCTATGCATAATAGAGGAAAATTTGCTATATAAAATAAATTTCTAAACAATCTGAAAATGTTAGGTTATGTGTTTCTGGCATTTAAAGCAACGTTGCCAATGCTAAACCTAATTTTAGCGTGTTTTTTTCGCTCATTCTGGGATTACGAGGCGATCGATCGCCAGAAAAACGACTCCTTCCCATAACTGCTATTTTACCAACGAGATCTGACTATTTATAACCACGAAGTTGCACGAAAGAGTTTTGATTGCATTGGTTACAACTTCCATGCGGAGGGTGTTAATCTTTTTTTGATATAATATATCAAAAAAAGATTAACACCCTCCGCATGGAAGTTGTAACCAATGCAATCAAAACTCTTTCGTGCAACTTCGTGGTTATAAATAGTCTTTATATAACTTCTTTGCGGAGGGGGTTAATCTTTTTTTATATAATATAATAACAAAAGATTAACACCCTCCGCATGGAAGTTGTAACCAATCCAATCAAAACTTTTCCGCGTAACTTTGTGGATATAGGTAGGTATATTTAACTATTGTCAGATCTCATAATAGGTCATTTTTTTAAAATCCCTAATCACCCGAAAAAATAGAAGATATGGCAATTTTTCGATATGTAAATTTTCAAATTTTTAGATTAGGTCTAGAATATATTTGTCTCTTTCATTACATAGGAGAGAGAAAGAAGGATATATGAAATGTCAAAAACTTCCATCTGGTCTCAATTTTCTTTGTTATTTTGTTAAGAAAAGCGTTTTCAGTAAAATTTTGGACATTTTTCTATCCTCAATCAAGTGTAGCTTTTAGATAAACTATAATATAATGAAAATATAGTGAAATTATTACTTTATAGGGTCGAAATAAAGAACAATTCAATGTTGAAATAATTTTCCGTTTTTCTGAAAAACGGTAAGAGACCGCCAAGAAAAAAGTTCAGATTCGTAATCTACGACCTCAAAAGAGGGTCTATACCAATTTTGGTGAAAATCGAACAATTTCCAGTTTTCCCAATAATTACCCAACAGTTTATAATGCTCACAATTTAAAGAAATATGGTTATTGTATATACAGGGTTGTTCACCACATACGACACGGAGTATTGTAGCTAAACGATGAGATTTTTACAAATTGTAAGTTTTGGGTTCGATGAAGGACTATTAGAGGTACAATTTGAAAATAATTTTACAAGATACAGAGTCTCCCAAATAAGTAAAAAATATCAAAGTTGTATTTTTTTAAATGGAACACCCTGTATATTATTACATTTTTAGTTTCTACGATTAAAATAAAGGTAAATTTGATTACGATTTATTATACTTAAACCTTACCGTTTATGAAATATTTTCAATTTTGTGAAATTGCAGTAAAAATTTTAAGGCTTCATTTCTCCAAGGGTATCAAAGTTTTTAATACTAAATATTTACTGTAGTTTATTTACTGATCAGTTATTGTGTTGCAATAATAAAAATAATACTACCTTATACAGAGTGTCTAAAAATTTATTTTAAATAATTATTAGCTTCACACGGCAATAACTTGTTTAATTTAAATGGAACACCCTGTATATTTTACGAGAATCAGATGCACAATTTAATTGTCTATCAAATTATATTATACCATTTTTTACCTATCTCTTTAAGTTTCCGTAGAAAATGCATTTTCTTGTAATTTAGAACTTATTTATCAATATACCCATGGACTATTGACATTTTAGATTATTTTTAAAGATGTACCAAATTTTTAAAGATTACAGATACTAATATTGTCGATATAATTCGTTTATTTCATTAAAAAATTAAAAAAAACTGTTTAAATATTTGTTAAAGAGGACCAATTAATATGATTCCAGTATTCAAACTACATTAACTGACTGTTTGCGTTGATTAATAATAATTGCTCCAAATACTAAAAAACTGAATTTTGTATGGGCATTAGACAGTGTGATAAAAAGTAACACCTTAAAAATGATATTTCGTTTTTTAATAAATGCTTATTTATAACAACAGAGACTTTAATTTGATAACTTATTATTATATTGATTTCTGACTCAAATCCACATTTATTTATAATAATTTATTAACGAACACAATTAAGTATGTAAGTAATTAGTATATGGGCGGAAATAATGGTGTTATATTTAATTAATGGTATACTCTTTTATAAAGATTTAAATAGTTTTCTTTTTGCATACAAATGGGCTAGTAATATTATCGTTTTGCTAAAAACGATAATATTACTAGTCTGTACATTTGTTGCTTTAAAAACAATCTAAAATGTCAATATTCCATGGATATATTGATAAATGAGGTCTAAATTATAAGAAAATGCATTTTCTACGAAAACTTGAAGGGATAGGTAAAAAATGGTATAATACAATTTGATAGACAATTTAATTATGCATCTGATTCTCCTAAAATATACAGGGCATTCCATTTAAATTAAAGAAGTTATTGCCGTTTGAAGCTAATAATTATTCAAAATAAATTTTTAGACACTCTGTATAAGGTAGTATTATTTTTATTATTGCAACACAATAATTGATCAATAAATAAACTTTATTAAATATTTAGTATTAAAAACATTGATACCCTTGGAGAAATGAAGCTTTAAAATTTTTACTGCAATTTCACAAAATTGAAAATATTTCAAAAAACGGTAAGGTTTAAGTATAATAAACCTTAATCAAATTTACCTTTATTTTAATCGTAGAAACTAAAAATTTAATAATATACAGGGTGTTCCGTTTAAAAAAATACAACTTTGATACTCCGTGTCGTATGTGGTGAACAACCCTGTATAAAATTTTTATAAAAGTTTATATCATCACATTTAAAAATACATGTTTACCTATATTGATCAATAATGCACTGAGCTTTTTCGTAAAAATTTCGTATTGAGCTATCTTTCCACCACATTTTCAAATTACCAAATTGATCAAACAGACGCCCTAAAATGATATCAGTGAAAGCCCGTGAAATAAATTTATACTTCTAATACTTCTTACCTTTATCGTCAAACCCATGGGTTATTTCATGACCTATAACCACACCAATTCCACCAAAGTTCAGCGCTTTAGGAAAATGCTTATGATAAAATGGCGGCTGAAGTATACCTACATAGAAATCATTTTTTGTTAATATTAATAGAAATTATATACAACTAACTGTTAATCGTATTTAAATAAATTATGAAAAAAGTTAAAATTATTAATATTCAAATGAAAATTTTATATGAATTTAAATGTATTAATTACTTAAAAAGTTTAAATTAGTGTTCTTGTTGGTATAAAAATAATAGTAGAAATTAAATACAACTAAATGTGAATCATAATTAAATGAATTGTGCAAATATTTAATATTTTATTAATAAAAATATATGACCCATGCGTGTTTCTGAGAAGTATACAGGGTGAAAAAAATCCGGTTTTTCCAAAAAACTCAGCAATCCTTGGGATTTTTAAACTTTTTTGATGGCATCTTGATGAACACCCCAAAGCGCAACTTTGTCCCAATTTAACCATTTTCGTAACTATTACGGTTACCGAGATACCAATGCTCTCACGCCGAATTTGTAGCACCCTGTATAGTACTGTTCTTGTTTATATGTTACATATTCATCGGTAAAGACTGTTCAGCCATCGTTCACCGTTAGGTCATCATTATTTGCCAAATATGAGTTTTAGGGTGTGTCTGAGATCAGTTCATATTGTTTAGAAAATTTTAAGTGCGTTTCCAGCGTTCCAGTGCGTTGAACTCTCCATCGTTCGTCGTCGGAAGCAAAAAAAATACAAAGAATAAAGAAAAAAACTTCTTCCGACGACGGAAAGAGATAAACTTTCCGAAACGTTAAGTATTTTTTTCTTGTTATTTTGTTGAAGTATGAGATTATAATTATTGAATAGTTAAATTTCAGACACAACATTTTTGCTTTCGTTTGATTTGATATGATATATAAAAACCTATATTTACCAGCGGGAAACATTATTTGATTTTTATTTCTGCTATAATAAGCATTTACGATAGCTGGAGAAGTACTCCACAATGTCCTGTTTACTTCAGTATCCAGTCTCTTGCGTTCAGCTCGGGCAAGATGTCTTAAAATACTTAAAACGTTTTCGAAAAAATAATCTGGATTTATTTCGACGTCATAGTACCGCATAGTTAAATCTAAACAAAGAGAAATGGGTTTCTGTTAAAAAAATTATGTGTTTTAGCATTATACCTGTATCATTCAGTACAAAATCCGGAAATCCAATCTTCAAATCCATATTCTCGATTTTTTTCCGGGCATAATTTTTGGTAGAAGAATCCAGCCAAGAATTTTCAGTTAGTATCTCTTTGAAGGAATTTACTAAAGCCTGAGTCATCTGGATCGTGTCCGTTTTGCTAGTTTCATCAAAATATTTTCTTACAAACAACGCACCAAGTGCCATGCCCATGTGGGTATTAACTTCGGATACACAAAATTGCCATCTAGGAGGTTGCTGTTCTCGTCCGTAAAGTACAAAGTTGAACCTTTGTTTAATATCTAAATACCTTGCATCTAAAAAGCGTCTTTATTTATTTTTTTTAGATTTTTTATTATTAGAGAATTTGAAAATTGGGATTTGTTATTTATTGTTATGCCTATTCTCTCTATTAATATCCCTTTAGAGTGCTATGGGATTTTATGTCGTAGTGTAAATTAATCTACACTGTCCCTGTTCATTTATTAACTTTTTTGGTTTATCATATGACATACTATGCCGGGTGATACATACATATATTTCTTACTCGTGGTAATCATAAAATCATTCTTACGTTATTCCCGTATATGTTAGTAAAATGTAATTCTCTTTCTTGTTATATTATATTACTCTAATTAGGATTTTATTTTTAATCAATTGAGAGTGACTTTACAAGTTTCCGTTTTTTTTTTCAATCATATTTTCTTCTTTATTTATTCATATTTTTGTAAAAAGGTTTAGTTACCTAACATGTATTTATTATCAATCATATTATACTAAAATACACTACTTAATTTATTTGAATTTAATAGAACGCCTATGGAGAGCGGTGTTTACTTTATAGAAAATGGCCCTATATTTTTTAAAATTTTCGATGCTGAGAAATACAAAAATATAAAATACAAAATATATTGCAATATAATTTATTTAATGTTAAAATCAAGAACAAAGTTTAAACCACTGTCAAAAAAACTCTTTATTGGTGACCGGTTTCGGCAATTCTAGCCATCATTAGACCTTAAAAATAGATATAAAACTTATATAAATGTATAAAAGCAAATAACATTTTTATTTTATCTGCTTTTACGTTTCATCTTTCTAACAACCATGCCTAGTACATACCAAAAATTGCTATTTCGAAAGTAACGTAGCGACGCGACGGGAGCACCAACGCCAATAGTAACCGGCCAAATCGCGACAGGCGAAAACGTGGAACGAAGTAAGTGGCCGTCGCGCCGCGCCGCCGATGTCGAGCGTCGATAGTCAGTTACAGCAGGGACCAGTTACTTCTGTCCGCGACAGGGAACTAAAACTCCAGGAGCGCGACGGCTGGGGCGAAGTAGGTCGCCGCCGAGGTCGAGCGTCGATGCCCAGTTACAGCAGTTACTTCTGTTCGCGACAGGGAACTAAAACTCTAGGGCCGCGACGGCTGGAGCGAACACGTTCCGATCGAGATCGCGCGGCGCTACGGACATACCAGTTCCTGATACTATTGTTGGCGACCGACGAAATCGCGACGGCTGGAGCTAAACACGTCGCTATGGGGTTACTACGGTTCGAGCTAACTTCAAGGGCGATTATAAATAATTTATAATTTTGTCGTCATTATGATCGTCGTTCTTCAGTAACAGGTTCATGATTCGTTGTGGTGCGCGACACGACGTTACAAAAAAATACCGCTCCAAAATCGCGTTACTCAAATACCGACACATCACTATCTTGTTGTCGTTGGAATTTCAAATCTCCGAAAATTTTCTCAAGCCGGTCCTGTTCTTCTTGTTTTTCTTGTTGTCGTTGTAATTTTTCCTCTTCTTTATCTTTACGTAGTCTTTCTTGTTCTTCAGCTTTCTCTCTTCTCATATTCTCCATAAAATCGCCCAATAGTTTGCTTACTTCCTCCATTTTCTTCGCTTGTTCCCTTGTACTAACCATAAAATTCTCCAATCCGGTGTAAAATCTTCAAAATCCACTTAAATCCCACTTCCGACACCAATTGTTACGGATTCCGTGGGTCCACTAATTTAAACTCACGATAAAATACTTAACGAATTTATAATCTCACTTTATACACACAATAACTAACTATAAAATTCCTTCACCAAATTGTTCGATTCACAATTTCCAAACGCGGTATATTCAAACTTATACCCCTACTGACTGTTTCTCGAACTTTTTACAATTCTCGGAGAGCGTTCTACTTCATACTGGAACAATCTATTGTCTGATTCGCTTACTTGTCGACTTGATTAAGAGATGGCGCCTAAAAATGTCTTTTACTTTCTGCCATTTTTCTTGACACGTTGCGGTTGTGTAGGCAACCAGTAATACAGTTTAGCGCCACATACACCTTGACCTTGACAATATACTTTATTTTAATATAAAATATACGAGTTTATAATAATAAATACCAATATACCAAGGTTATTAAGCCTATGTCGTACGAATCTCCATATTATATAGTTTTGTAAAATTCGATGATTTGTATTACTTAATAAATATATCAATTCCAACAAGTATTTGGCGCAATATACTGCTACAGGAGTGTCCAAACTGATGTCATTTCCTACGATTAAGGAGATTAATTATATTTGCTAAAGTTTCAAAAAAAATCTTTGTACCTAGGATTATAGTAAAATAAGTTTTCCAATCGTACTGCGGAAAATATAATGTGATTGATGATAGATCGGTTCTAAGATACACGTCAGATATATTTCGCCTTTCTTCTGAAGAGGCCATAATTTCAGCTAACATGGTTTCAAATGTTATTATATCGTCAACTTCTTTTTCGACATCGACTAAGTCTGATCCGAGTGTTTTCACAGTACTTACTATTAATATTTTATAAGCACTTACATATTTTATATTTTTGGGATCTAGAAAGTAATCTCTTGTGGGAAGTCCCAAACTTGTCTGGTCGATGTGAACTATATATTGATTCGCTCGTTTTATATCCGGACCGATCCATTGCGACAAGATCACGTCGTTATTTAAAAGACGTAATCTGAAATTATAAAATTAATCTATTTTGTAAAAACTTTTTTCTAAACCTAGAGTCAAATGAGTGACTAGTAGAGTTCCGAACCGAAAAATCCCGCTACCAAAAGTACCGGGAATAACCGGTTCTTTTGAGACATCAAAAAATCGGGACTCGAAATTATTAATTCCTGGGTTTTCGGTACTGTCGCAAAAAATTAATTATTGATACCAACAATTTTTTTTGTTACATGCGAAAGACCATGGATGAAAAATAGTAAAAAATTCATTTCTAACGGTCGAAATCAAACTCTTCTTACTTCTGAAGTTTCTATAATGTTTATTAGCAAATAATATTACCTGCCTAACAATTTAAATAAATCAAATCCTTCTTCAGCCCATTTACTAGATAAGATAGGCCAGCCATCTAATTCCTTTAAAATTTTTAATAGAGGCTCATTGCCTCTCTCTAAAATTAGTTCAGTATTCATGCAAGATTCATAGAACTGTTTCACTTTTATAGTGGCATTGGTTGTTATATTAGGATCAGCTCCACTATTAAATATGTCGGTGAATTCTATTTTCTTATTTGACGCGTTATCATTTGAAATACTTGATTTGCTGGATAGGGTTTCGTTCAAAACTCGGTCCAAATTTTCTCGAATTATTTCGAAGGTGTCGTAAGTGGACCTATCTGGTGGTATTATATGATAATTTTTCCAATTACCACAGGCATAGCTATAGAAATCGTTGCACGGATCAGCTATGCTGTTCATATATTTCTGCATAATTTGACCTAAAAATCACAGCACTTATCAGGTGTGTAAAAGTATCAAAATAAAACACTAATTCCCCACAATACACTAAAACACTATTACGACGTTTCGCTAACCATATTAGCATCATCTGCTGAAAATCATCATCTCAAATCATCTCTCAAAATTTCAATTTTAATCATCTGCTGATCATGCTAACATAGTTAGCGAAACGTGCGTCCAGTCCAAAAAGTAAAAGTGTTTTGGTATATTGTGGTGAATTAATATAAATATCATTATCAATATCAAAATATGAATCCTTCAATATCAATAAACAGCACGCCAATAGAAAAAATCCATACATACTTGGGCACAATAATAAATAAAACTGCCGAAGAATTGCAAGAAATAAAGTCCAGGATTGATATAGCCAGAAATTGTTTTTTAAAACTAAAGGAATTTCTTTGCAATAGAGATATAAACTTAGACTAGCGTGTACCCGCGACTTCGTTCGCGTCGAATTAATCATTTATAATAGTGATGATAAAGCAAAGCAAGAATTTCAATTAACATACAAACTGGATAAAATTTTAATATGGCGATATTATTATGTAACTTGGTAATATTTGAGGGGTAGTCTCATCTCGTTCCTGTTTTAAACAGAAACAATGACCAGATTTTTCGAAACACCCTATATACACTTTTAAAAAATCTTAAAATATGTAAGAAAACAAAATAAAATATACGTGTTTAGGCGCTTTTTCGGAAACTGGACCGTTTTTTAAATAAAAAAATATTGTAATATTTGAGGGGTGGTTTTACCCTCTTGGAACTGAAATTTCGAAAAATCCCTTCTTATCGAACCTCTACACCCTAGAATCAACCTGTATGCCAAAATTGAGCTTCTTACGTTGAGTGGTTTGAACAGGATCGTGATTAATTAGTATGTCAGTCACTTAAGGATTTTATATATTAGTATAGATTATAGAATATTGAATATGTCATAATTTTATTTTATTGAGATTTGTATGGTAAATCTACCCAGCGAAAAGAATATTCAGCATTAAAAAAAACGGTGTCAAAGACTGTTAGGGAATAACAGTCGATGATAATAATTGTCGCTAGGCCTAGACGTCATATACTATAAAAATTAACATAAAACTTGTCAAAAATTAACAGACACGCAAATCTATTTCCAAATTTTCTCGAATTTTAAAGTACACTTAAAAATAATTTTTACTCAGTATAAAAACAAATTACAACCTCCCTAAGGCGGACTTTCCATTGTGTTGACACGTTTTTTTCAAAAAAGATTGGAATGAAAATCTCAAATACAATATATGCTTGATATGAAGCTTTTGTGAAAGAATGAGTCACCCTGTATTTTACAATAATTGAGGATAGTGAATGTTGAAGATTGGTTTATTTTGGTAAAGTTATCGAAACTTGAGAATTTCATAAATTACTTTGCATACTCCTGACTTCTTTTTTCGTTTTTTTGTTGTGCCAGAATATTTCGTCGTTAACAGGTTTTGAATTCGGTAACTCCGTGTCACCTTTTGAAGTTATATTAATCTTTATAACCAGCACCGTTTTATCTTCATCAGTTTGATGTTCGTCGTCTGTCGGTTTATTAACGTCAGGCACATTTATAACTGAAATGTTCAAATCGATTGGTTCTGGATCGTTCAATATTTCAAAACTCCCCAAATTTATTTTGTTAGCCTTCACACAGTAATTGTTACTGGGGCCAAGAAAATTGTAATTAAACTTTCTTTTCTCTCTGTTATCCAAGTCGTAACTTCTAAAATGAACGATTTTTTCCGGCAAGAAAACTGTTTTTGTATCTTGCAGTATTTCTCGATGGTCTTCGTGATCCAAAGTTTTGGTGTTTTCGTATCGTCGAAACATATGTTTCGAATTACTTTTAAGTATTAGCGCCGCACAAATAACACTAATTATTGTAAAGAAATTCATTTATATGTTGTCAGTGACATTTATAAATCAACACTGTCACATCTAATCCGTTCTAGTTGAGTGAAATATGTCTATACAGGGATTTCCAGGCATTTGAAAGTATATTAAAAGTTTTTTCTGGATCTAGTTTAGATACTAAGGTTTTAAGTTAAGCTTATTTTATTACAGTTGTGACTGTCAAAAAGTCCATTTTAAATAGAACACCCTCTATAGTTTTTATTTTTTATTTGTAATTGGAATTCTAAACACATTTTGTTTCTAAATAATATCCCAAAGTAAAATTTTCAATTAAAGATGCAAATGCCTATAAAAACATAACACAAAAAAAATATAACAACTACATTTAGCAATATTATACTAAATAATAAAATAACGTATTTAAACTTTAATAATTGCTAATAAACATTATAGAAACTTTAAAATAACTTCAGAAGTAAGAACAGTAGAGAAACATATTATAGTAGAGAACACATATATAGAAGAGTAGTACATCACTACTTATTTACAAGAGTTTGATTTCGACCGCTAGAAAGTATCAAAAGTCTTTCGCACGTAACAAAAAATATGTTTTTAATTATTCAAAATCCGGGAATTAATAATTTCGAGTCGCAGTTCTTTGATGTCTCAAAAGAACCGGGAATCCTCGGTATTTTCGGTATCGTGATTTCCCGGTTCTGAACCCTTGTAAAAACCTTAGATTAAGGTAAAAACTACCCCGATCACTACATAAATTTTAGTAAAAATATTTTTCAACTCCACCGACGACTGCTTTTTATTTTCGTAAAACCCTCCTAAGGCCCCTCTAAGACCCTCCTAATATTTACTACATTTTTGTCTATCGTAAAATAACGCCACATTGCATAGTTTTTAAGAAAAAAAAATTGGAGAATTTTTTCCCAAAGCCGACCTAAATACATATACAGGGACGTAACCGACAGTCTCTAGACCTCGCTCTAGGACTATCTAACGGACAAACAAAGCACTTTTGTATAGGGGTGAATTGTGTCTAATTTAAAAAAAAAATATTTTAATTCCAAAAGTACGTAGTAGTTCTACATCCACGGAATATTGGGACACCCTGTATAAACAATAGATTTGATCAGCAAAAGATAATTTAATGTTTCATCATTATCTGTAAATATTTTTAATAAATTGTCTTTTAGAAAATGATCTACTCTACTTAAATTTTGCAATGATTTATCAAATAATATACAGGGTGCTCATGAAAATGTTACAAATATTACGTTAATAAAACTATAAAAACTATTTTTTTACCTAGATACAGTCATTTTTCTTCTGTCTAGGAGAAATTCAAAATGAAACTAAAATAGATAATTTCGGACTTCTATTATCTTTATTTAATTTTTGAATAACGTTTCGGTCAGTGATTGTCAGTGTTGTGTTAATCAAAAAAAATTGGCGCCAGGAGGCACGTATATCCGCCCATACTAAAATATGTTAATAAAAAGTTGGTAGGCAGTTCTTTTAGTTTCAAAATAAAGGTATTTTTCCAATTTTTTTTATCTCAAAAACTGCCACTTTGACTGATTTTGATGTCATTACAAGTTTTGTTGCAAATATTATTCCTAGTCTTAAATTGAAAACCGCGTTTCGCTAGCTACTGTAATTTTGGAGTTACGATTTTTTAAAATTTTTAACCCCCTCCCATACACCCTTACCAACCCCCCACCCCCACCAAAAACTAATGGCCAGATTCTCGGGTGCCACAGTATTTTTGTGTCAAATTTGTTTAGAATCGGTTTAGCGGTTTTTGAGTTATCGTGTTACAGACAGACGGACAGACACCAAGGGAAAATATTTTTTATTTAGGTCATTTATGAGCCAAATAACTCATTTTGAGTGAAATTAAAAAAACTTTTTTTTGCCGATCTTAATAGCCTACCATACCTGTTGGAATGATCGGCTTAATATCGAGTATAGATCGAAAAATAAAGACAATGGAAGTCCAAAATTCTTTTAGTTTCGATACTGAATCATTGTCTGTCACAGTCAAAGTAAATTCAAAATTAATAAATAGTTTAATTTTAATAATAGGTTCTTTAAAAACATTCATGCAATAAAATGGAAACTTTTATTATCAATTTTTGAATTTATCGGCGATGCAACACACGGTAAAACTATTTCCATATATCAACGCTTGTTTTACATTTTCAGAAGCGCTTCAGGCTAGTAAAGACATGATATCTGACGAGGAGTCTGATAATGATTCAAATAGCACCACCGTAACGAGTTCGGAAGCGCCGAACTACCGACCAAGAATTACTTCTTTTTCGTTAACTAAGCAGAATTATTATGGAAGTTTTTATCTTAGAATGGGAGCAGTAGGTAAATATTCTTAGGATATATCGGAACATTTTATACATTGAATCGTCTAGCCTCCTACTAAACGGATAAATGAATTAAATTACCTAATTTACCATTTCTTTACTTCTTTCTTATAAGTACGTCGAATAAAATTGTTAGTTGTTTGGTTCAATCTCCTGAAGATGTTATTACTTATGTAAATTCACAATATTTTAAATTGATTTTCTTGGATACTATTTTATCCGCATCTCATATTAGTATTACTTACAAGATGCGAATAAAATCATAATTACTTCCAACTAATTTTCTATAAAAAAATGTTTTCGCTAACACTAAAATCGAGGCATCGTAACATTTAAACGCATATATTTTGAAAGCCGTTCGCCATTTTGAACCAAAGGTTTCTCCACCTCATTTTATATACATGGTGTTTCCAAAAATATGTGCTATCTCTCGTGGGGAGATTCCTCACGTAAAAATAAAATTTATTTTTCATATCAACATAGGTCCGATTCTGTTTTGTCTCGTAGCTACAGGGTGTTAAAGTTTTAATAATCTTTCGATGTATTATAATTTTCTTCCAAGTACTGTTAGTGATTCGAATGAAATTTTGAGGGTAAAAGTTACTACAAGTGCTACATATTTTAATGCTAAAATAGTGTCGATTAAATTCATCAGGGACGTGCATATGGAAATGCGACGAAAAAAGAAATGTATCCATCCTGTATCTCCGAAACGAACCATTTTAGGACATAAATTCGTACGATTTTCTTTACTTATTTTTATCTGCAGAATATACTGCCGAAATTTCCCAAATACAATTCGGACCATCCTGTGTATGGAATTGATTTTCAACCAAATAATGAATACTGAGCTTAGTGTGTGATATTTTTTTTATTGTTTTATAGCTTTTGGGATAGGAAGTATGATTTACTCTGGTTTAGAATTTGGACAATATTTTGAATTAGACGGAAACACCAAATGCCACAACGTACTTTTGGCCCTAACACCAGCTACAAGAATGGCCTTTATTTTTATACAAATGTACTTTATTTTTCTAAATAATGAAGTGAGTATATAAAATGTTAACAATCAAATTTTATACGTATACTTTTTTTTCAGCAAATGCGTGTATATAAACATAAAATAGCCGCGAGATTTGGACTTATGCATATGATAGGTACAAATTTGTCCGTTTGGCTCAACGTTCTAGTCCAGGAAACTAAGCACGAAATTCTCACGTTTTATAATCCAGAAAATAATTCCCTTCGAATATCCCATAGGATACCATACAAAGGAAACGTACTAGGGTAAGTTAACACCACAGTTAAAGTGAGATATACAGCGTTATTCTTTCAACGCTATTATTTGATATTTGAAATGTAGCTGCTTCTATACAGGGTGGGTCTTAAATAAGTGCAAATTAAGGGATAGTATATTTCGACCCCAGACACAGGATTATGAGTTTTTTTTTGTAAAAAATTGTACTTTTTCAAAACTTAAAAAAAATAAAAAAAAAATGGCGCCAAGAGGCACGTATAGCCGCCCATACTAAAATATGTTAATAAAAAGTTGGTAGGCAGTTCTTTTAGTTTCAAAGTAAGTATTATGTTAGAGATTTGATTTTAAAGTTTCAAACTGGATCGGTCAAAAATAAAACAAGGACAGGGTCCAGGGTACTGAATGAAGAAATGCAGATGGAAGTTATTGGTCAGGTATCGGTCAATCCAGAAGCATCAACACGCCAGTTGGCATCAATCACAGATATCCCTCGAACATCTCTCAGGAGAGTATTGAAAATGCACAAATTCCATCCCTACAAAATGAAGATTCTGCAGTAACTTGGCGACGACGATCCAGATAGAAGGATTCAGTTCTGTGAATTAATGACGGAGGAAATTCGAAGGGAACCTTCACTTACTAAAAATATTTGTTTTAGTGATGAGTGCTCATTTTTTTTAAACGGAATTGTGAATAAGCAGAACTGCAGATACTGGAGCGATGAGAATCCGCATATTGTTGTTGAAGGACACACCCAACATCCCCAAAAGCTCAATGTTTGGTGCAGAATACTAGGGGATAAAATTATAGGTCCATTTTTCATCAACGGAAATTTGACTGGTGATGCTTATGTGGAAATGCTGAACAATTTGATAGAGCCAGCCATTGTAAATGAGGTTGAAAATCAAAGAGATTTGGAAGGAAATTTAATTCTTAATGAAGACCTCATACACTTTCAGCAAGATGGAGCCCCTCCGCATTATTCTATTGTCACAAGGCGGTGGATGGATAGATATTATCCACGGCAATGGATTGGCAGAAGGGGTCCAATCGAGTGGCCGCCAAGGTCACCTGATCTCACTCCTTGAGACTTTTTCTTGTGGGGTTACACTAAATCCATAGTCTACAAGACAAAACCAGGTTCGTTGCAAGAATTGCGGCAGAGGATAACTGAAGCATGTCGAAATATTCCGAGAGAGACTTTCTAAAAAGTGAGAGAAGAATTTGAAAATCGTTTGTATTTTTGTATGGAACAAAACGGCTGTCATTTTGAGCAATTGTTAAAATAAATTATCATTTTAAATTTCTTTCAAATTGTCAAACCTATATTTCTTATCACTACTTACCAGTAATTGTTGCAAACAATGCCAAATAAACCTGTAAAAAACTACTTTTATTATTCAAAATGAAATATCATATAATTCAGTTTTTAATCATATAATTCAGGGATTTTGCAAGTACTTTTTAAGTCTTTCTAGTCGATGTGGCAACAGCGGGCGGCGAACAAGCCGAGATCCGCGAGATCTCTCCCCCGCGCCGGGGGATCCGCGAGATTCCCCGGCGGCTCTCAAAATGTCGCAATTTTTTTTTTAAACTTTCAAAGTTAAATAACTCGATTATTTTCAATTTATTTTAAAAATGGCAAAGAGAAAATATGTTTTTTTTGGCCAGATCTACTACCTCTTAAAATATCTGCACTCATTTCTGGGACACCCTGTATATTATAATATACTTTTTATGTTTCAGACTTCCCATGGTTACGACAGAACATCCCCTTGAGGCTCACGGTCACCACATTGCAATACGAGGCTTAAAAGGACCCCATCACCTCTACGAATGTAGACGAACCAACATCATCGGTTCCCTAGTTCAAGACGCCTCACCTTTCCTATTTCCTTGCACCATAGAATACAGCCTCATATGTGCCGCCATTCTTTATGTCATGTGGAGGAGTATTTCTAAACTGCCACAACCAAACAACGCTTTGGTTAAAACCAAGTGTGATATTAGCAACTATAAGAAAAGTCCCCATCATTATACAGTCGATTGTGCTAGGGCTCATAAAGGCCTTTTCGTAGGGATTTTGTTGTTAGTATTGACTATTATTTCCCTTATATTGTTTTTCGTATTGATATCTAGATCGGAATTTGTCGGGTTAGCTGTTATAGAGGTGAATATATGCGAACTCACCTTATATGGTATGACAACGATAGCTTCAGCGATAGGGATGTGGCAAGTACGCCAGTTGCGTTACGACGGCACAAAAAACCTTCAGTTAGATAACATTCTTTTAGTAGGTGCGCAAACAGGAATGTACATCTACAGTACCTTTACAATAATCGGAGGGCAGTTCACTATTCAGAAAAATACGGTCTTGGTTTTGGTTACTGCGGTCGCTTCACTTTTGCAAACTACCTGCCAGACGATTTTCATTCTGGATGCGTCAAGAAGATCTTGTGGTACTCCAGAGCAAATTAGAAAGAAGCCTGGTAGAGAGATAGTGACATTCTTGTTGGTAACAAATTTAGCGATGTGGGCAATAAACACTCTCGAGAAATCTAGAGCCGAATCTCATCCTATTCAGTTACATTTCTACGGGTTGTGGGCGTGGACTATTATTACTCACGTGTCAATGCCTTTGGCTATATTTTATCGATTCCATTCCACTGTGTGCTTGTGTGAAATATGGAAGAGAGCTTATAAGATGAAACCGACTTATATGTAGTACAAAGTGATATTTTTAAGATTTATATATTTTCACGGTTTATATAAGCAATTGAAATATTTTTGCAATTTTCCAGCGTAAGTATATTTTGGTATAAACTACAACGAGAAAAAGTATGTGCCATTTTGAAAAACAATTAGAGTAGAATCGTTTAATAAAACCAAATCAATTAAAGAAAATCATTCACGGGAAATAAATTAAAAAAAATACAAAATATACCTAATTAGAATATTAGCATATCTTGTACAATAAATTCAATCATACATACATATACACATAAGATATCCATCCATAAACCTTTCACAAACACAGTATTTTTGACATTATATATTATATACAGCATTATTATAACTAAAATCGTTATTATACACATATGAAGAATATAATGATTTTTTTATAAATTCACATGTAACGTCGTTTTTTATATTATAAAATGTAAACATAAGTACAGGTACCTATTTGTAGAAAACATATCCTTTAAATAAAGACAATACATATTTACACATTTGTAACCATCGCTCTATACATATATTACAACATTAGTTACTTAGTATTTTTATAATTCGTTTCGTGTATCGTTTTAATAGTTTTCTATGTCACATAGCCCTAAAAATTAATTTTATGAAGGATGTACATTTTCAAAACCAATACACCACCTTTGCTCAAATGTATTAAAAGCTCATATATGTATATGTCCTATATTACATAATAATATACTCTTATATAAGGCTCTCATTTTACTTTAGTAATATAATATCTGATCAAAAATAGATAAAAAATAATAAAAATTATAATTTTTCAATATTTTACTGATATTATTGTTTTTAAAATAATTTTTTATTAACTAGGAATATGATACCCTTAATTACGGTTTTTACTATTCTTAGTTAAGCTCTAAGGCACTTTTTTGGGAACAGTTAGAATTAGATGTTTGATATTTCTTATACACTTTTATACATTTTTAAGTGTTTTCTAGTAATAATATTTTTTAATAACCATAGGTCAGGGATAAATTCACATGGAGTGTGAATACAATACAAATAAATATATATTTCACTAAAAATTTCCAATTCTATTCGAGACAGATAGTTTTTATATATGAGAAAATGGTCAAAAGCATGTACATACAAATTATGCATTTATTCAATTTATACAAAAAATATCTGATTTGGAATATTGGCTGAGCCAAGTCACACATCATGCATTGGATTTCAAATAAATTTCTCGAAATATTATACAGGGTGACAACAAAATTGTTAAACTTCAATTTTGTCTAAACGAAGGATTTTAAATATCACTCGTTATGTTTGTTTGCATTTTATATAGACCTTAAAATTATGAAAAAATATGAAATATGAACCGAAGATTTATTTTGAGCTATATGCTATATGCTACACAAATTTCAAATTTATACGATCGAAGGCAATGAATGAACGATTCCGTTGTCACCCGATATAGAGATTGATTTATAGCCTTGTAAGGGTTCAGCGAAAATCAGTTCAAGCTAATATTTTTTAAGAAAATACGCATTTATGTAAGTTCAAGACAGTAGCACAGATCGTTTTTAAATGATACATTTTTAAAATATTTCCAATATACGGCATTAAAAATATCGAATTTAGTAAATCGCAAATAAAGCCCCGTACTAACTATGCGCTGAAGCGGTTTGTCAGTTGATGCGCCAATTGATCATGACGCGCCAATGCGTGTCGATGCGATGGGTTGTGCGGTAGTTCGGGGAATGTCGTTTTTTGGGCGAACCGTCAAAAGAAATATGGCGAACACAATAGACGAATTTCGAAACCTCGACGAGCTATGCACCGACGCACTACGAACCGAAAAGTATGTAGTATGGGGCTTTAATCTATACATACCGACGAGTTTGCATTAGAGATAGAAACTAAATTTTGTTTTACATGAAACAATCTGCGTTCAAAAGTTTTGTAGTCTGCTAGGAAATCTGATGTTGCGGTTTGCCAAATCCTCATCACCTGATTCTGATATATTTATTTGGCAGAGGGACCTTAAGGTTCCAATTTATGACTATGAGGAATAGTATTACGAACTTGAGAAACAATTACATACAGTCTTCCTTCAAAACTGCCGATTAACAGATAATGTTAATGAACTCTAATATTGCTCTAAAATAAATGATGAAGCCTTCGATTTTAGTTGTGGTTATGATCAGCCTGCTACTGAACAGTCATAGAGGAAGTAATAAAAGTTTTATTATCTTTCTCTATGTGAACAGTTAATTAAAATGGAACTTTAATATTATTACCCTGAAAGTGAAATTGATTTAATCCGTTATTACATTACTTTTAGCGTGACACTATAGACTCCTAATAATAATGTCGCACAAGTATATAAAATTAATAAAAAATATTAAGCCGGGACCTCATTAGCCAACACCCGATGACATGCCACGCCATGCTATGCTATCCCACGTGTTGCGACGTGGGAATGGGTGTACACATTTGGTAATACCTGTTAACACGCCTGAAATTTTTATTAGAGTTAAAACAAGTTATCAGTAGTTACGAAAATATACTAGAAGTATCGATACCCATATCGATATTAGATTATAATCATAATACCAATACACCAATATTATATTCAGAATCCAATATCGATATTTAATAAGATCAATCTCTTGTTGCCGATTTTTCCTGGATTTATTTTGTTATATCCGATGTTGAATCGATTCAAAATATCGATTTATTTTATTTTTGGGACATCCCTACATCAACTACAAAAGTAGATAGCTACGGGACTAGAGAGGCAAGAGAGGAACAACACGCTGTAACACACATCGGTGAGATCTGGGACTGACGAATGCCCATCACACGTGTGATAGCGTGTTATGGCGTCGGATGGCGTGGCGTGTTGCCTAATGTGTACGCAATACATGGAATTAAATGGAAAAACATACGCACAGATATTCACGACGTGGGGTAGCATGGTATCGCGTGGCTTGGCGTGTTGGTTAATGGGGTCCGGGCATTATTCATGTGTAATGATGTGAATCTGTATATCAGATATTAAGTTAGAAATTAGAACACAAAAAAGGTTAAAACATTATTTAGTAAAGAACTACAAATATTTTTTTCGATCGAAATTTAACAAGTAAACAAATTGAATAAAGTCGTTTGATATGTTGCATGTACATCGGATATAAACAAATCGTTAAACAACTTTATTATGCAATTTGATTTTATTTGTTATAATAAAATTGAAACTGACTCAAAAGCGGTTTATTAAACGGCATCAACGCCACTCGCGAAGTAATATAAGTTGATGTAGGCCAAAGTTATTTCGTGTTTCGAACTTTGTCTCGTCTCGGCTTATTTTCATTTCGTAAAACGCCTCTACATTACGCGTGAAATTTCGGAGAAGGGATTGGCGGGGAGGGGGACTTTCGGTTGTCTCCTGTTGTTTCTTTCAATTTCGTTTTGTCTCGAGCGACTTCCATGTCGTGTAGGTTTTTAAGTCCGGGTCAGAGAAATTTTTATTATAAATTATTATAACACTTATTAGTGGCTAACTTATTATATAAGTTAGCCACTTTTTTACTTATTAACCTGTTATTTACAGGGTGTCAAAAAAATAGCGTATACAATTTTGGTGGGTGATTCTACAGATAAAAATAAAACAAAAGGTCAAACCTGATCGACTCTTCAATTAATAAGTATATCATTACAAACATATGGCATGTCTTAAAACTAGGAAATGGTGTAACATACGTATATGTATTTGTTAGGTTATAAGTTACCAAAGTATTATTCTATATTATTGTTAATGTATTGAGTTTTGAATACAATTTGTTATGTTGCTTTATAATATTTTATTACTGTAATACGCTTAGTGTCGTAGTGATATACCTGCATACTATAGTTTTACTGGTGTTTGATGGTCATATAAGTCTGATTAAGATCTGATTAAGTCTGATTAAGAGACGCAAAAAACGTCCACTGAACTGTTTTATGTTAATCAATAGATAAATTATTTTAAAAATTTTGTCATGATAACTCCGGGATGATAATTCCAATATAAGTAGTTTTTAGACCTAGAAATAGTATTGCTGGAGCCACACCTGTTTACCTATAAATCGGTTGATTATCGCAATAAAATGCTTTAATTTTAAACGAAGCATAATAATACTTAACGCTTCGTCCTACGTGGTCGACAAAAGCGCGCGACGCGGGCGGTAGGACCGACGCGAACTTATGTTTTCTTATGAAATCGTCCTGCATCGACGATGCAGGACACTTTCATAACCATAGATAACAGAGCTAATTCATAAGTATTATAAGAAAATTTTCATTGTTCATAAGATAACATTTTTTGATAACGTCGCGTCGGTCGTATCGCTCGTATCGCGCGCTTTCGCATTTACGAAATCTGAAGAGAAATATTCCCCGATAATTAAAAGATAGCGTTTCAATATATTTACTTTTTTTAGTAAAATATGAGGACAATAGACCGAATATTTTGAAAATATTTTCATAGATATACTGGGTAATTAATAGATTTTGGTTCTTTTTTCCAACTTATGTATTGTAGTATACGTTTGTTTATTCTAGTATACGTTTGTATATACCTTTGAATAAGAAGACTAAGGAAGGAGCATATCAAAAATCTTAGGTACACCGCGATGGGCCTCAAATATGGCCGACTTAAATTCCGGTTTATCAGTGCCGTTCTATTTTTATTTAAAAAATGTAAAACTGTGACGTAGGGTAGACGTGGGGTAGACTCAATAATTTGTTATTTTATTTTACGTTGTGAATAAATGTTGGTAGTTATTAAAATTGTTATAAAAATATATAATTCTAATAAAAATAGATAAGTTATAATAAGTATTTATTAACACCAACATCCGATACGCTACTGAAGCAGGTAAGTCAAATTAACGTATCAAAATTCTTTGACATCTGATCTTTGACAAGTAGTAAATAAATGCTAAAATGCAAGAAAAATATATAATTTAGTTAATTTAAGTGAATTTCATAAATGATCGGTTTACTACACGTATGTATATTATTTAGCCACTTACTAGCGAAAAGTTTTTCCATTATTTCACTCAATTTTTGCCGAGATCTACCGCACGCTACACAACCAACTATTTTAGAGTCTTTTTCGATAAATCGCGATAGTGTCACTGTTAATTTAAGTTCTGCCACAATATCCATCTAGATTTACTACCTTTATACAACTATCAGTAGTAGAATAAATAATAAATTACATAAAATAAGCTCCGTAAAGACTGACAAATCCCTAAAATTTCAAATAAAATTCAAATGTGTCAAATGAATCGTCAAACAGAACTGTCAAGGATCCCCACCCCAGAGTGCTTTTTCCGCCCACCATGCACGAATACATGGATAGCATTATGCTCCTTCCTTAGTCTTCTTATTCAAAGGTATATACAATATGAACGAAAAAAAAATAGCGCCAACGATACCTATGAAATGAAGATCACTATCATTTTATATGTAAAATTATAGGTATGCATAGGAAATGTCATCGATTGTCATTTCTAAGCTAACTCGACGCGTTTTTTTTTCGGTCATACAGTATCTACACTTAGTAGTCTTATAGTGTATTGTAGTATATTTATCTTTTGAAACGCCTCTATTACAAAATATTGTTCATTAAACCAAAATATATAAGAAAATCATTAATTTATAATTAAGAGAGCTTTAAATGTGAAGTATCCGATAGGGTAGCTGCAGGTTTTGCTCTAGCAATACTATATATAATTCTTTTGTAGTTTTGTTTGAATCTAATGCAGTTTAAATGTATGTGCCATATTACGTGTTATTATAAAGCCGAGCTCAGACGACTCGTGTACTTGGCGTGGCATAGCAATGGCAGGCTTGGCGCTCATACGATTTGTCTATTACAAGTACGCCAACACGAACATTATTTAAAATCCATGGCTAGTAAATAGCACCTTATTACAGTTTTTTTTCAGTTCTTGTATAGTACAATGGATAGATATATGATCTTGTATCCTTTTCCACTCATTATTAACTACATTTTGATTTTTATGGTCTTTATTTTTAGCCACCTAAATGACGGACTCGTTTTCATATAAATTAAGTCCACATTTAGTATTATATTTATTAAAAAAAACATCAACACAGTACGATTACCGTTCGTCGTCAAAGACAAATGAAAAAACTCTAAACAAGTCACCACGAACCCGAAATGAATAGTAAATACGCAATAACAGTAAAAATATACAGGTTGTTAATTTGTTTATTACTCACGGCAAGAGCTTTATGGTTGAAATATGGCAACCTCGGCCCGCTCGTCGATGGACGACGCGACGGGACGAGTCGGCAGAAAACACTATAAGTGCATGCGTTCTCAATATGCAGTGTTGCCATTCTGTTCCCCTATAAGTAACTGTCCAGTTAACAACCTGTATAGTATGTGCATTCGTTTGAGCGCCTCGACAAATATATAGAGAATCTACACTTGGCAAGTGTACCAATAACTGTGATCCCTTTGACTCACTTCCACAAGATGGCAAGTAGATGCCAATAACAAATGTTTGCCAAGTACATGAGTCGTCTGATCCCGGCTTAGGACTATTTTTGTTATATTGTTACAACTTTATTGCGACATTGTACAAATATTAAATATATTATTGCAATTTTTATTTATTGATATTCAAATATAAATAGATAATATTAAATTATATTGTATCTACGTTTACGATAAATAAACCCAGTGTAATGAAACTTTGTCTTTTTATTATAATGATTTTTTTTCAGAAATTGTATGTGTTTTTCACTATTTGTATATTTTAACTGAAAATAGTGTGATGCACGGTGATAGGCGGTGGGTTCAAGGGGTAGGTATCGGTTTATTGATTTATCGATTTTTCGACTTAAATTTAATTTGTTTTTTCTTAATTTTTAAAAATGCAAAAAAACAAAATGCTCACAAAAGATGAGGCTACAATGTGATTTGATTTAGCAATAGCTACTACAGCTGCTGCACCCTACAGGGTGTTACAAAGTTCGGGCAAAAAACTTCGTCTTTTTGATGTGCCCTTTATTTGCTCAAAATAAATTTGGAATAAAAATTGCTGACGTAGCATCCGTAAAGAAGGTATTAATTTACAATTGAAAAAAAAATCATCAAAATCCAATGAGTGGTTCGCGAGAAATCCAACTTAGAAATTGGGACCAGTTTTTAGTGGCCGTTTTTTTTGCCGGTGAGTGTATTATCTATTTATCGATTTTTCGAATTAAATTGAATTTGTTTTTCCTTAATTTTTCTTCAAGGCAACTAAAATAAGAACTGGGAATTAATTTTCTTCTCGGTAATTTGATAATGGATTTATTGATTTATTAATTCAATCAATAAATCAATAAATCAATAAATCAATAAATCAATAAATCAATAAATCAATAAATCAATAAATCAATAAATCAATAAATCAATAAATCAATAAATCAATAAATCAATAAATCAATAAATCAATAAATCAATAAATCAATAAATCAATAAATCAATAAATCAATAAATCAATAAATCAATAAATCAATAAATCAATAAATCAATAAATCAATAAATCAATAAATCAATAAATCAATAAATCAATAAATCAATAAATCAATAAATCAATAAATCAATAAATCAATAAATCAATAAATCAATAAATCAATAAATCATTATTAATTAATCGATAAATCGATAAATCGATAAATCGATAAATCGATAAATCGATAAATCGATAAATCGATAAATCGATAAATCGATAAATCGGTAAATCGGTAAATCGGTAAATCGGTAAATCGGTAAATCGGTAAATCGGTAAATCGGTAAATCGGTAAATCGGTAAATCGGTAAATCGGTAAATCGGTAAATCGGTAAATCGGTAAATCAATAAATCTATAAATCAATAAATCAATAAATCAATAAATCAATAAATCAATAAATCAATAAATCAATAAATCAATAAATCAATAAATCAAACCAAATCAATAAATCAATAAATCAATAAATCAATAAATCAATAAATCAATAAATCAATAAATCAATAAATCAATAAATCAATAAATCAATAAATCAATAAATCAATAAATCAATAAATCAATAAGTCAATAAATCAATAAATTAATAAATCAATAAATCAATAAATCAATAAATCAATAAATCAATAAATCAATAAATCAATAAATCAATAAATCAATAAATCAATAAATCAATAAATCAATAAATCAATAAATCAATAAATCAATAAATCAATAAATCAATAAATCAATAAATCAATAAATCAATAAATCAATAAATCAATAAATCAATAAATCAATAATAAATCAATAAATCAATCAATCGACAATCAATAAATCAATAAATCAATAAATCAATAAATCAATAAATCAATAAATCAATAAATCAATAAATCAATAAATCGATAAATCGATAAATCAATAAATCAATAAATCAATAAATCAATAAATCAATAAATCAATAAATCAATAAATCAATAAATCAATAAATCAATAAATCAATAAATCAATAAATCAATAAATCAATAAATCAATAAATCAATAAATCAATAAATCAATAAATCATTATTATTAATTCAATCGATAAATCGATAAATCGATAAATCGATAAATCGATAAATCGATAAATCGATAAATCGGTAAATCGGTAAATCGGTAAATCGGTAAATCGGTAAATCGGTAAATCGGTAAATCGGTAAATCGGTAAATCGGTAAATCAATAAATCTATAAATCAATAAATCAATAAATCAATAAATCAAACCAAATCAATAAATCAATAAATCAAACCAAATCAATAAATCAATAAATCAATAAATCAATAAATCAAACCAAATCAATAAATCAATAAATCAATAAATCAATAAATCAATAAATCAATAAATCAATAAATCAATAAATCAATAAATCAATAAATCAATAAATCAATAAATCAATAAATCAATAAATCAATAAATCAATAAATCAATAAATCAATAAATCAATAAATCAATAAATCAATAAATCAATAAATCAATAAATCAATAAATCAATAAATCAATAAATCAATAAATCAATAAATCAATAAATCAATAAATCAATAAATCAATAAATCAATAAATCAATAAATCAATAAATCAATAAATCAATAAATCAATAAATCAATAAATCAATAAATCAATAAATCAATAAATCAATAAATCAATAAATCAATAAATCAATAAATCAATAAATCAATAAATCAATAAATCAATAAATCAATAAATCAATAAATCAATAAATCAATAAATCAATAAATCAATAAATCAATAAATCAATAAATCAATAAATCAATAAATCAATAAATCAAATCAATAAATCAATAAATCAATAAATCAATAAATCAATAAATCAATAAATCAATAAATCAATAAATTAATAAATCATCCCAAAACTAAAAATAACCGCCAAAAGTTAATGATACGAACACAAAGCCACTTTCAAAAACATCAGAGCCTCTCTTGAAACAGAGAAAAAAAACCCTCATTGCTTATTTTATATGATAAATCTGCATCGAGCGCTTAAATTATAATTTGAAAACCGACTTAGAGACGCCTCATTTTTCATCGTCAATAAATCGATAAATCGATAAATCGATAAATCGATAAATCGATAAAT